TATTGTATTCCACAATTTCTTTCTTTTTGTGGAATGACAAATTAATGGAGTCTAAACATAAAATTGGTTATGACGCATGCACACCAATATAAAAAAATCAGACTTACAATGGTCTTAAGGCGTTGTTTATACAAATGTGAATTTAAAAATCAAAACATATTCACTGACAAATAGGAAACTGGAGTTGGTTTTAAAATTGTGATGACGATTGTTGCATGTTCCTTATGGTGTATTGTTCCTATAGACAAATCTAATGTATATATTGTAAGCTGTCAGATGACATCAAAATGTGCCTGTGTTCCCAATCAGAATCAGAATCAGAACCAGAATCAGAATCAGAATCAGGGTTTATTGCCAAGTACATTTACACATACAAGGAATTTGACTTGGTGTATTGGTGCTAAACAATTAACAAGGAAATAAAGCAGAACTAGCAACAACTTAAATAATACAGTATAAGAAGATATTACAATATATAAAATAGAATTTAAAAATGTAAAATATAAAATATAAAAAATAAAAAACACAAATGTACAAAATGTGAAATGTAGGAGCTGTGCAGTGGACTATGAGAAAACATCTTAGTGTGTGTAACTACTCACAGAGTGCATGTAAGGAAGATACATTTTTAAAGTCCAGTGGACATTAATGTAACACATAAAGAACAGTTCAGCATTCACATTACTGAATATGATATTATATATGATATTACAATATGAGTGCCTCTACATTTATTAAACTTTGTGATGATTCTGTGCCCTAAAATGTAACAGCAGAACTAAGAAGCAACAGAGAAAGCCTCAATAGATCACCTGCTCCTGGCTTACTGTACTCCAGGAGCAATTAAGCCTGTTTGAATCGATGCCCTAACATTCAAAATTCACTTTTAATAACATCTCTAGGTGATGCTGGTTTTGGGGGTCAGTGACAGAAGCATCAATAATGATCTATCACGCCTTGTCTTCTAAGAATCCTCAGATATCCCTGATATGGTTCTGGGCTCCACCAAGTTGATGTTAGACCAATGAATGTATTTAGTAAAGGAGATGATTGAGCACAACAGGACACACTGTCTCAAGAGAGCATCTCGACTCCGTGGACTGGAGAGTACATCAAAATAATGCAGCAAAGCTTGCAAAGAAAAGAAGATGTTATTATTGGTCCCTGGGAAATAGGAGATGGTGCGAGGGTGAGAGAGCTCAGGAGTTAGAGGCAGACTAGATTACAAACGTGGAAGCGAGCCTCAGTCTGCACCGTCTTTGAAGACTCAGTTTTGCAAAATTTAAGGAGGGGAGGACAGAGGGGAGAATGTGTGACACACAGGACAATGTGAGAGAGTGTGCTAAATTATAAATTTACTGTAATATGGACAGTAATAATGTTGCAACATTTTGTAATTAAAGTTTTTTTGTTTTTTTTTGTATTATCATATTTATAAATGTGTATATATGTGCATGTGTATATATGTGTATATATATATATATATATATATATATATATATATATATATACTGTATATATATTTTTTATTTTATTTTATTTTATTTTTCCTTATAATTTATTTAATTGTAATTGTGTGTCTTGGAAAAATGTTTAAAACTCAATAAACATATTGTTAAAAGAAAAAAATATCAATTTACTGTTAAATGCCTATAAAGTATCTTTATAGCCTTAACAACATTGTATGTCAACACATTTGAATATTGTATTCTGTAATACTTAATACAAATATGTTTTTTATATGAGACTTTATTTTGTTATACTTTTATTTACGTTTTCTTTCCCTGAGACTAACATTAACTCAAGTAGTACTTTGGATGTATCCAACTTGAGATATTTTATAACAATATCATGTTAAATCTTAGGCCCATGCTTTCAATATCTTTGTTGTATTTTATTCTCAGATTTATCTCAATTTACAGATTTAACACAGGGGGGTGTGGTTTTCAGCATGGGAAGTGTTCCTGATTCCATTTGTAGTGCACTTTTAGATTGAGCTGTAACGACCAATTAAGTTTCAGCAGGTTTTGGTGTTTACATCATAAAGCAAGCAGAAAATGGTCTGCACTGACATACCAGCTGCCATTGACCGTATTCTAACGACAACTGATTTAACTCAAAATGCAGTGTGTTGCTGTGTGGTATGAACAGCAGGCCAGTGCTGGTTTAAGGATGTGTTGTTTGAGTGTAGGGGGTCGGAGGAGCTGGACATAGAGGGATTTCTAAGTGAGGACGATGATTGCTGATGGGTTACGAGATTGGTCTTGAAACAACTGAAGCTAACATGGCATAAGTAAACATGTTATTACATAAATTCAGTGGTATCACTTTTTGTAAAAAATAATGATCAATCAGTCAAGGAAGACCATTAGGCCTGCATATTTTTAAAATCTGGGGATATCTAGAAGTGAGCTTGAGATAAGACGTTTAAATAAAGGTATTTGACCTGCGATATAATTCAGAGACATTACAAATGAACATCTAGTCAAACAAAGTCCTTAAATCCAGCATTACAAGCATACTAGAATTCAAAAACAGTAGTACTATCTTTACAGAATGAAATGGAATTATTGTGTGTAACAAATAGTTCCCTTATTGGATCCAACATACTGGAAACCACAGGGGAAATGTAGCATTTCAGCCCAACCCCCACCTCTTCTTTTGGGGGTATCAGTGTTAGTTCAACAATCAGTACAATAATTTTCACACATGGCGCTGTTGCTTTAATTCTTTGTTAATTAGCAGCAGGTGTTCTCTTCACAGTTCGTTAACGAGTGCTCATGTGAAAGGCTGTCAAGCTTCATTATCTGACATTAGCTGCTGTAGTCTGAGTAGTGTGTGTTCCTGCTCCTTCACACAGTTCAGGTGCCATAGACACTAACAGGTCGTGTGGGTGCTGGTATGGCGCAGAGGCTGGGCTAACAGTTCATACTAACATGTTTGTCACAATGGAGGACTGTTCTTGGCTTCATAGTAATGGAAACAAAAAACAGAGTGAAATAGCCTTCAAACAATGAATAACATAAATGTGTAATTCATTCTACCACTTCAAGGGAGGCATTGTATTCAGCTGTACTGTAGACGAAGAGAAACATTTTTATTCTGCTAGATATTTAAGGACAGTGCTTCAGTTATACATTTTAGCTAGCAAACATGTTCAAAAAAATAGCAATGCTAACATGCTTATGTTAAGAAGGTAGCTAAACATGAGTATGTTAGCATTCAGTGTTCATTTGCGTCTGTGTTCATTTGAATTATTTTACTCTTCTTTAACTTCTTTGCCAAGCTCACAATCATGGTTTAAAGTTTTAGCATGGTATCATTAGTAAATAAGCACAACACAGAGTAAACTTATCTGTCATTGAAATGTATAAAGGGGGGACCAAATATGATGAATTCCAATAGTTGTTGAGACATTTCTTTAACCGCAAATGCACCCCTTTTGTCCCAGGTAAAACCAAGGGACAAAGACAGTATCCATCATTAATACGCATAATAATGCTGCTAGCTTAGCTAAAATGTAAAGAATCGGCTAATTTCAAGTTAGCTTATCCGTAAAAAAGGGTTAAACTTGCATACAACAAATGGTAAAAAAAAATGGTGTCAAAGGGGTTTCATAAATGCATTCATATAACAAAACAAGCTTTTGTATATTCTGCACAGAATGGAAATATGAGTTCCATCTCTTGCTGCTGGCAGCATGTGCCATGTTGTTTAGTTTCTCTAACTGTCAGAAATAAGATGCTGCAGTGAATTATTGGAGGGTGTGATATTTTGGCAGTTTTTTGAAGTAGGACTACTATACTGTTATGCTTTGTTTCATTCTGTTTTGCTCCCTCACAATGGGCATAAGAGGGGAATGCTGTAGCCTACATAAATCAATGCGACAACATTGTCATTGCCAGTCCTCACGCATGACAATACCAGGCTGGCAGCAGCACTGCAGCTTTTCTATCGCTGAAGTTTACTCATTTATTTGTCACTAGCAGCACTTGCTTGCCCCTGTCATAAAATGCAAACAATACAGAAGCTATTCTTACCTATTGTAATATTTTCTGGTATTCATCTTTTATTCCACACAACTGATGTGTCGCCTCAGATGCATGATGCTTCAATTTCTGGAATTGGACAATGAGTCACAGCAATCTGAAAATAGATTGTTTTGAAATTTGGTGAACATCAAGTGCAAACACCCCCTACTGCATGACTGGATCATAAGCAATTCTGCCCTTTATACAACAGTGAAATTATTCTGTGGCTCCTGCTGTTCTTTCCCAAAAACCTACATATTAGCAGTTTATAAGAGTCTCTATTACAAAGCCGCGGGAAACACAGTCTGCAGCCATCCGCTTTCTGAGCTGATGCAGCATGCAGTCATCACAGGCTGAGTGAAGCATAAGCCGCCATCGAAGCAGCGTTCCCTCAGATGTATTTGAATAAGACATGATGCCAGTTTATTTTTGTAACATCTCCCACCCCAGACTGTTGGCAAGTATAGAGTTGTGACTAACCCTCTTCCAGTTTTCCACATTATGCTTAGAAAAAAAAAAAACACTTAAGAGTGTGTCTGTGCTGGAGTTAATTAGGAAAAATTACTCATCAATATATAATTATTATTTAAGAATTATAAGCAGTGTATCACAGGGGGAGGGAATCTGCAAATGTGTATCTACATTTGAGTTCATTATTTTCTACTGACACAGTTTTTCCTCAGCTGACGTTTCAGCCCAGGCTCTCTGATGTTAAATAATAGATAGACATCACACAGCCACACTGCTCAGGAAGTTTTCGCCAAGAATCTCTGTAAGACGTTTGACTCCCAGGCCCTGTCCAAACTGCTCTGTTTAAACCAGACTGACTGTCCCTGAATGTTTCATGAGGTGCAACATAAAGGTTCACAGTGTAAAAAACTAAACAAAAAACATAAACACAGAAGCTCTCACAATCTGTCATTACAAAGCATGACTGATCATATTCAATGAAATGTCTTTATTCTGCAGGTCTGGAGCCAGCTTGTCCTGTCTGTGTGAAAAGACAAGGCAGAGGAGCAGGAGAGGAAATGATTGGCTGAGGTGTCATGGACAACGTCAGCACTAGCTCTTCCAGTATGCAGTGTGGACTTTCCTGCTGCGCATCACCAGTGGTGCCATAATCCAGTTATATCTGTGGGTGAGCATCCACCTCCTTTATTTTCAATTTTATGGTCATTTTTATACAAACTACTGTAAATGTAAGGCATGTGCTGTAGACACAGAGAAAGACATATATATATATATATATATATATATATATATATATATATATATATATATTTTAAGGTCAATTTCCAGCTTTGTTAGAAATAGGCACGATGTCATAGTCATGTCTCTCAGGGTTTTCCGGGCTTTGACTGGAAAACATGTAGAGCAAACTTTCAAAGTAAAAGCGTGGAGTTTGAAAGACATGGGCATTTAACAAATAGAGGGTTTTGGATTCTTGATTTATAAAACAGAAAGAGGACAAAAGTCAGGATTTTAGGGCTCTGCTGCATCATTTGGGCTAATCATTTATTTTTAATTCATTCTAAATCTATCTGATATTAGTCCTCCCAAACATATATGGAAACTTTTTATGAACCCCCAATAAGTTAAACCAAGGCATTTTGTGACTGCAAAATGAGCCCCCTGGTTAAATTATTATTACTTTTTGTGTGTGTGTGTTTGGGGGGTGGGGGGGGGGGGGACTTGTGCTTTGATTTTAATTCAACTGAAATAAAAAAAACTCAAATTTTATCCAATATTTTCCAGCCATATGTAAATCTAACAAAGAATGATGCTCTTCCATTACTCCGGGCCTAAGCACAGGGCCAAGAAGTCAAACTATCATGGAGCAAAAGAAAGCTAAATTCAGTAATTGTGGGTCTTTGTGCTCTATTGAAGCCTTCAGATATTGTGATGAATAACCTAAACATGTTTCCTTTCCTTTACAGAAGAAAAAATAGGCATGAGATTTAAAAGGCAAACATTGCTATGCACATCTTATACACCATATAGGCACAGTGCCATTGAACAATAGACATGGGTTATGTATCTATAGACTAAAAAGGGAATGTTTTCTTTTGCAGCTTTTGAATGCATGTGTAATAATGTGTATTTGTTACATATTGTTCAATAGCCTCCATACTGCCACCTTCCCCAGCAGTGGGAGCAGGATTACTTTGGGAAATGATGACTTGTTTCCTCATGTGTAAAATGTGAATTGCAAACACCTGGGCTCACAGTATGTCTACTTCCTCCTTTGTTCAGTTGAGCAGATCAGTTAAAAAGTGCTTTTTCACAGTTAGTGCTCGGAGCAGGAGGAAGAGAGAGATACCCCTCAAGAGGGAGGGAGGTCTGCTGTAACTCATTTCAATGAACATGTGTGTGTTACAATGAGCCGAAATAGAAACAAAGAAACATCTGACAAACAAATAAGAAAACACACCAAATTCTAAACTTATGGAAACATAAAGGTACAACATTTATTGAAACTCAGAAAGTTAATGTTTTCTTTTTTCAGAGTTTGTCTTTTTAGATGAAGGCCTGTGTGGTAACATTTTTGTTTGAATATGTTTTATCCCATCTCATCTCAATATCAGACAATATAGAATCAACATAAGGCAAATCAATTTCTTCTTTTGTTCTTTACAGTTCAGCTTTTTGCAAACTCTTGAGTAAGAATACAGTTATAGGCTGTCGTTCATGAAAAATTGAATCTGTGAATACATTAGTTTAGCATTCACTCCTGGTCTTTGGAGTCCTCGTCCGTCAGTAGTTTTTCAAACATAGCGTATTGTAGCACAGCAGCACGTCCGTCAGGAGTGTTTGATCGCTTTGATGTAACATACAATTATATGTTTGGATAAAAGCGTCTGCTAAGTGAATTGTAACATTGTATATTAACATGCTGGTATTATATCTCTGTACTGTGCAATACAACAAGAAAGCAATTTCTTTGATACAATGTCTTTATTATAATGGACTATAAGCCAGTCATGATGCAGAGTTGTTGACTGGTATATGCAGCTTTAGCACTTAGATCAAGTGAACTGTAAACTTGCACTTACTTTAATGCCATTTTCTAACCACATTGTTGAAATCATTATAAATGGTTTGAATGAATTACCAGTTAACAGCTTTTATTTTGCAATGAGATTTTTCAAAGGGATTCAAGGCTGAACCAAATGATCTAGGACTCTGCAAATTTGCCAAACAGTCCACCCCGCAGTCTGATGACATCATTTCCTGCCATTTGGCCAATGATTCTTTTTTTTTTTGCATTGGGCATTAAGTCACTGCCCCGTCCTCAGTGATGGCACAGATGAGCTCATCCGGCTGGCAAATGGCAAAAAGCTATTTTTCATTGCCTCCTCCAGTGGATGTGAACCTCCTTTCTTTGGTGGTATTATTTTATAACCTTTAAAATTATGAGGTTTCTGCAGAGGTCTAAAACCATTACTTGCTCCATCATGTCACTCTTTTATTGCTTTTGGTGAGGCTGTAATGTTGCTCCGTCTGCTGCAGAATATTATTTTGTTTTCACATCTCCAAGTAGACTATAACGCAATATGTGTCTCTGAAGTTCTTTTTGTTTTTTTACTTTCCTGAATGAGACTTTTGTCTGTATTAGTGCTGCTGCCATCTACAGCCTATTACATGTGTTACTGAGGAAGTTAATTATGAGTGCTTGTACCCATCTGTCCCCTCATACCTGAGACCAAAAGACATATCAGTTTGTTTGAGTAGATCATGCGTCAAAATGTTTGTTTAGTGCAAAAATGAATACAAACTCTGACATTCATTGATTTTTATTTTCAAGGTTGCCATGGCTTCTTGATCTGTTGAGTGTCAACACGTCCATCTTTCTCTCCAGGTAATGTTGAGCCAAATAACCAATCCTGGAGATGCCGAAGAGAAGAGATATTCTTGCCATCGTGTTGATCGTGTTACCCTGGACTCTGCTCATCACTGTTTGGCACCAAAGCGCTATAGCTCCACTCCTCGCCATCCGCAAGGGTACGCATGCAGCGCACTTCACCGGCAATATCAAACCCTTAAGTGGGTCCTCGATCCTCACACTGCACTTCAGGTTTAGATAACAGGGCCGTTCATTTGGAGGTGCTTGGAAAACCATGACCATCAGCTTCATCAGAGCTCAATAACACTTGTCCAGTTATTGTAAACCTCATCAGTGTTTTTACATGCATGATGAAGACTTAAGAGCTAGCATCATATTTCATACACAGAGGAACAATTGTCAAGTCATCTATTCTGTTTTCGTGTCTGTGTCGTCTGAATTATTATCATGCTTGCCTACAAGATGTTATGAAACACTCTCATAGTGGGAAAGCATCGTTTGTTTCATGCATCTAGATACAAACTAGTCCCTGATTTCACTTTTTATATCCAGTGGAAATTCATTTCAGAGACTTGTCTAATAAGCAATTTGAAGTGATGGGTTTTTTTTCTGCTTCTTGAGCTACATGGAATATTCTGCTTCCATGTGTAATATCCTGGTTGCTCACCCAGTCTGAGTCATTAGTACACACACCCATGAGCTTTTCTCAGAGACCATAAACCAACAGTGTAAAATGTCAAGAATACTGAAGAGTAAACAAACTCAAATTAGAGAAACAGCAAATCAATAACGCTCTCGCCTTCTTATTAGAAAGTCAAAAATACACATTCAGCGCCTAACAAACAAAACAGGTTTACACAAACCACACAAACCAGTCAGACACACAAAAGGAGTAAACAACAGTTCAATTGAATAGTTTTTAGATTTTAAATCTGATCAGTTTTACAATCTATGACAAAGATCCAAAAAACTATTCAAGTAAATCTTTGTCTTTCTGAAAACAATGAAACGCTTTTTAGTAATTTGATTATCTAATGGGATTAAGTGACAACTAAATAAAGTTAGAAGAAATCTTTTTGGCAGTGTCATTTGACCCAGCTGTTCACACAGGCTGTCTTTCATGTGCTTTTAAAAAAGAGAAGCGAGAATATTTATTTTGGCAGCGCGCTCCCTGGCAGCCTCCGTTGAACATCTGGCCATCAGCAGATTGTGTTAATCTATGTGCTGCAGAGATATCCTCCTTATGTTGGAGGTGTGAGTGGTGCTTGAGCAGAACAGTGACAAAAGATTGCCATTAGCACAATGAAAAGACATTAAAAAGCCTAATGATTTAATTATCTTATTCTATTCATCATGACCCAAAAAACACTCGGGCCAGAATATCACAGCCTTAAACTCCGGAGTCGACTCGATGTGTGCCAGCTGACTGATTCTCTTTCATGTATTTACAGGTCTTAACTAAGCAGTCACCTTTATTCTCACATAGACAGTCAAATGTATTTTGTCTTTCTCACAGATTGAAGACATTAGAGAGAGATAGAAGGTATGGTCGCACACAGGTTACCATTGTAGTGCTGCAGCTGCTGTGATCTTTGATGATGAATTCAAATGTTCCAACATAATCACAAAAGTAGAAAAAACAGAGCTCAAGCTCAGTGAGGTATTTATAGAATTACTCTAGAAAAACATTGCCCAAAAAATGAGAAAATAAAGATATATGTTCAATAAAAATCAATGCAAGAAAGAAAATCAGTTGACATGTGAAATCCTTTAAGATTGCAGTTCATACATTTTAATCAGTTTCTGGTTGTATCTGCATTTCCTACATGCATCTATTAGTGTACATAAAAGTGTAAAAATCACCCGTGAAACATGCATTTTTGATTTGACTTCAACTTCAACTTTTTTTTTATCTCCAAAGGGCGATTTGTTTTGCATTAAGGCATAACAGGAAAATGTAAAATGTTAGAGGCACTGAATATAGCAACCTTGTAGAAACAACAGCGATCCTTGACTGAGGCTCTTAGCAGCTTCCGAAATCACAGAATAAAAGCATTTTTATAAAAGAATGTCTTGAGTAGGGATGTAAAACAAGGGACTGAATCTGCAGGTCTGATCTTTAAGTTCAGTCCACGCTTAAAAAAAGAATTGAGGTCTAACTCAAGTTGAGCCTTGAAAATAGTTGCAATCAAACTGCAAGACGCAGCCCATAGTCATCATAGCATTTTTGCATGTTTATAGATGTCAGGAGAATAAAGTGTTTTAAATACTTTTAAAGGTCATCTCAACCCCCCCTCCTGAAATGAACAGTGGTAGTAAGCAGTGAAATGGAGTCTGTGGTGGAGTCTGAATTTAAAAAAAGAGGGCATGACTACTGGACCTACATACCCGCATTTTTCTTAATGTGTTGAGAAAGGCCTTAAGGCAACACTCGGGGAATAGCCGGGCTCATCTCTCCTCTCCCTGTGCTCTTGCTGTCTCTCTGTCCATCAGCTGTGTTATCCTCTCACAGTGCCTGCTTTCACTTTTTGCAGCCTGTCACCACCTAGTAAAAGAGATCTTTATCATTCCAGAGAGGCTTGCAGTCCGCCACCACCGGCTCTCAGGTACACTTTACCCCCATTGGGTTTAAGTCACCTGAGGAAAAATATACAAAGGGCAGCCCAAGGTCGCACTAATGTCTTACATGTCTTCTTATCCCCCAAATGTGCAGATGACGGTGTGGAGGGGAAGAGGGAGTCAGGCGGCCCGGCTCAGGACTCTAAGGAATACTGTGCTTCAGATAAGGACATAGTGGAGGTGGTGAGGACAGAGTATGTGTACACACGGCCTCCACCCTGGTCTGATGTTCTGCCCACCATCCACATCATCACCCCGACGTACAGTCGCCCGGTGCAGAAGGCGGAGCTGACGCGGTTGGCGAACACGTTCCTCCATGTTCCCAACCTGCACTGGATCCTAGTCGAGGACTCGCAAAGGAGGACGCCACTCGTGACGCGACTTCTCCGAGAAACTGGGCTTAACTACACCCACCTCAATGTAGAGACACCCAGGAACTATAAGCTGCGGGGGGACACTCGGGATCCTAGAATCCCCCGGGGCACTATGCAGAGGAATCTGGCCCTGCGATGGCTGAGGGAGACCTTCAACGCCAACAGCAGCCAGGCTGGGATCGTCTACTTTGCTGACGACGACAACACGTACAGCCTGGAGCTGTTTGAAGAGGTCAGAGCTGGTGTCACACGTTAAACCTGCTGATAATGTACTGCTGTTCATTTCATGCATTTTTACAAACTTATAAAATGGGTGGAAAAGGTCTAGAAAATAGGCTCAATGACAGCAGGGCTTGATCTGACAACATGTTTTAAAATGTGGTGCAGGACTAGAGAGTGCAAGTTTGCAGGTCGAGACAACAGCAAATGATGGATAGCATGAACTTGAAGTTGAATTACTAATGAACCTGCTGTAGAAAATGATTCTTGCAAGAGGCATTTTGCTTATGCAAAAAAATAAAAAAATAAACAAGAATAGATGATAAAACTACAGTCATGTTCTACAGAGAGAGAGAGAGAGATAGAGAGAGAGAGAGAGAGAGACAGAGTACGAGAAGGTGGAAGGTGGACTTGCTAATGCGCAGTCTACAGTGTGCAATTACTCTGACCCACTCTTCACAAACCCATGATATTTTCTGATGAGCTGACTCAAACCCATTGTCGGTGAATAAGTAAATAAACAGACAACAATGACCACAAAGATCCTTTTTCATTTTCACATTACATCTGTGGTAAGTTATTACAATTTTGAAATCTATTATATTCAAAGAGAATTACGTATTATGTTTGTAGTAGGCCACTGCTGTTAAGTTTATGGGATTATTACATTTAAACTGCACGTCTGTATAATGTTCGTAGTTTATTGCGCTCGTGGGCTGTTATTAAACCTCCTTCATTTGTAATTTAATCAGATGCAGAGTAACTACAAAGAATGTCCTGCTCAATTCCTTATCATAACACAATCACCTCATTCTTAACTCTTATCTACAAAGGTAACTAGCTTCAAGCATAACTCCAATGCATTAGCATCAGGCTCTGTCTAACATAAGAACCAAACCCTACAGTTTGGAACTCACAGGTTTTGCTTCCAACTTCACACTTCACATTTTCTTCTATTCTCAAGGTCCAATCCATCTTCAGAAGCGTCACCACTGATGTAAACTTGAGTTCCATGTGCACAGTTAGTAATTCAGGTGACCTGGGAGATTTCTCAATTCTCAGCAGAAACAGGGAGGCATGCCAGTTTATCATGTTCAGAGAATTTGAAAGCTGCGCAGCCATTTGGCTGTAGAGGAGAGCTTTGGATTGATCCGGAAAAACTAAAACTGGCGAGCCCTCAGCAACATATTACGTCCAGTCATTTTGTGCACAGCTCAAGTTAAAACTCCTGCACAATACTGTTTTTCAATACTGTTTATGTAGGCTAAGTTCCTTCTTTTGGAATATGATTGAATCGATGTCTTCGTACACAAGTCAACTTTATTTTTTTTAAATAATTATTATACTTTTCAGTTGATCCATTCCTGCTTAAAGGCTTTATATGTGATTTTCTGATCCAGCAGATGTCGACCTTGAGCACCAGCATGAAACCAAAACAACTTGCGCTGCATTGTTGTGTTAGCATGCTAATGCTAGTGATCTTTATTATGCTGGTATCTTCACACTGCATGTAAATTTACCTGAAATGAGTGTGATCTAGAAACACAGTTAAGCAGTGAGTACAGTATGTTATTCTTCTTTTCTCTAGTCCCTCAATTAAACTACTTTTATACACGAGGGGAGGAGTCAGCCGGCCGTCCTGACGATGTAAACAAAGTGAAGATAGGACTCTGAAAACTCTGAAAACATCACAGACAGTGGGACTCGGGTGTTACACCATTGTAGACAGTCATGACTCACAGAGTTATTTTCAGAGGATATACTTGATTTATATTACATTTAAGTGTGAAAAATCACATATAGAGACTTTAAGCGTAATACATGATATTCAGCACTTGCTAACCATAGTTCACAGACATTTTGTCTAGTCTAAGGAGGGTCAACAAAAAATATCTCTGATACTTTAAGTGTTTTTTTTTTAGCTCTATACAAGCAGACCTCCAGGGATGGAGAGCTTGTAGAGAGAAGTTTGGGCATGTAATCAGTACATCTCAGGCCATCCATCTTGACATCAGTTGAATTACCTGAGCAGACACGGTCTAGGTCCTCTGAGTATTAGCCTCCAGTCTTGTTAGTAATGCAGACGGGGTCTGTAGTAAATGGAGCGCCGGGTATTGACGAGGCCTGTCATTACCTTTCTCTGGGAATCAGCCGAAGTGCTCCGTCTCCCTCAGAGGCCCTCCATCACCTCCAGCAGGCCTATTTATGGGCCAAAGACATGGCCCTGAGTGAAGAGGAGATGAGGGGGTAGAAATGGAATTGGAAAGATAAACATAGAAAAACAATTAAGGAGAAAGAGAATGTGACAGCAGATAGATAGAAAGCAAGAGTTGACTTCAACTACAGTAAAACAATATGACATTCTTATACTTCTGCAAATGATAGTAGTTAAAATTACCCTTCTATAGTCGAGACAGGGTTGAAAATGTGATGTTCTGCCGGAGGTGTTTATAGCACAATAAACAACTTTGTTAATCCAAAGGGGCTTTTTTAGTTTTGAGCAAAAATCTCAAATTCAAAATCACTGGGAACAACCAAATTATCAGCAAATTAAAAAAATGCTCAAATCCTTTCAAATCTCTTAACTGTTTAAAAGTTTAAGTGAGGTAAGACCATAGACCTTGAACAACTGTTTTGTTATGCTTGGAATAAAGCCCAGGTTTGTTTATACAGTATATGTACAACAAGTGAGTGTTTAAAAGAAGAAGACATAAACCATTGACATGATAGTTTGTGGTTCAAACACACACAAGACTGGATGTAAGACGTCGAGATTGCACCAGATGAAAATGTCAACAGTTCTTTTGAGTGCAGATGAAGCACAGAGCTGCATGCGTGACGCTTTATTTCCTCAGAGTGACACAGAGACAGTCGACCTCAGAGCAGGTAAAACAATACGCTGCAACAGCAAAAAAAAATCTAACTGCAATTATTGTTCTTTCTTATCGGTGGTATAGATAATTTGGTGTAATAAATTGTTAATGGAGGTATGTATTAACACCAGCAGTGTGGAGTATAAAGTATATAAAGTAATTCTATCACAGTTTGTAGCTCATACTGGTTTTCGGTGTAATAAAAATTCAAAACGTTCATAAAAAATGTATTTTTCACAGATTAAGTAGAAAGAAATTGACGAGTTATGTGGCTTTATATGGAAAGTTTGTTTCCATCCCAAACCACAAAGTTATTGACTTGTTGGCATGTTCTATTTGTAACCAACAGCACAACCAGCACACTGTTCGCAAACGCATCCTTTAAGAATAACTATCAGCAGGAGAAAGAAGGGGGACATGTTATTAGAATGTCTACTTTAGTGTCTGCTTCAAATGTAAGAACATATAAATATTCTAACGATTTTGCATTTGCTTACACCCCAGAAATCACTGAGAAACAATTATCAGAATGCAAAATATCACAATTCTATCATTATTTAAGCTACTCAGTTTACATGAAACTAATAAAACAAAATACTGCTGAACTTTGTTGCCCAATTTGTGGCACTTCCCTACATGTGGGTAGTGCAGGAACTAGAGCTATTTGACCTGGGCGGATATACCCTCCAGATCCTGCAGGCAGAACACTTTTTTACTTTTCCATAGTGTGTATTGGAAATGAATGAGTCTCTTGACATTACCCACAATGCATTGCTTTGTGCTTCCTTTTGATCTTTGATTGTATATATGTCTATGAGGGAAGAACACATTTGACAACGCAGGTTGGTTAGTGGTATCAGTTATTGCATGGGAACAAAAAAAGATACATACACACAAACCTTTAGGTTAAAGCGGCACCTCTGCATAATGTACAGAGGCAATTCTGGAGTCCCGAGGAGCCCGAGGCAAACATTCACAGGGGGCCCCTCCAAACAGCATCCCCATTATGTCATACATAATGTGACACCAACTGATTTTTTTAGTGGAAGTGTCTTTCCCCCATATTTAGGGCTAGACAAGCATCATTCAGGTATTTACTACTATATGAGTGAGTGCTGTCTGATGGGGCCACTTAGGGGGGTTTCCTACTGTCATTGCAAACTTTGCACATTTTGAGCCACTGCTGTGTTTTAAAGTTCATCAGCCCTTGGGGGGTCCCCTACTGGCCTGAAGCCCCAAGCAGTTGCCTGCCTTGCCTGCTGAAAAACAGTGCCTCTGATCATGAAGCATATTTTATTGAGAAAAAAAAAATCCAAGTGTTGATAAAGGAAATCATAAAGGGATAATCAGAACATAACTCTCAGCGTACATGTAGGGCCAATGAAAGATAGAAAACAAACGTTAAGAGAAAATAAAACATTGGATCCTGTGTGTTAAATTATAGCAGCACGCTCACATGGACACACACATAGAAGCACTCAATATCTTCCACCAATTAAGCCCAGAGCTCATTAAGTCCCAACAATCCTGCCAAATCTTATCAAGACACCCAGCACAGTTGCTTTCCCTACAGCTCAAATCAACTGATTCCCTTAAGCCCCCCCCGGCCAGCCTCATGCTGTTTACACCCTGATAGTCTCTGATCCCCCTGAACTGACCACACAGCAGCCCATCAGATCACACACCAATCTAGCACAGCATCCCAAATGCAAGGAGGATTTGAATGTGATTAACACAAACCCAAAAACCATGCTTCAAGATTCTCACATGTACAAACCAGCTTGCATACAGACATGCTCTGCAGACAAGCGCTGTCATTTATCTTAATCAAGCCACTATACATGCATTTGCCCCTTCATTTGAAATAGCCCCTGCAGTATCATTATTTCTGCTGCATTGAGTTTGAGTTCCCTCATTGTAAAAAAATGTACCTTTTATTGCTGCAGCACCCCCATGCTAGAACTGCATAGACTCACAGAGAGGCAGACAAAGAAAAGGGCGGCAACATCGTTTGATGATGGAAGATTAAAAAAAACTAAACTTAGAGGAGGATGGCAGTGCTCTTGTGTGGAGAATCTCCTCAGCCAACTAGCGGCTTGAGCCACTTGTTCTAATTGCCTGGCTCCTTCAAAGACTCTTGGAACTGTCCACGTTTACTCTCTTAAAAGATGGCTGCATCTAATTAGCTCAGTGTATGGCAGCTGTGGTACAATGTGTGGGATCTGCCCTCGTTTCTGTGTGTCAGCTGCTCATAGCACAATAGCTTGGTGAATGTTCACCGTCATTGGGTCGCCTTCATAGTCTAGTCCTGTGAAGGCTAGTCCTCATCGCAGCAGTTGTGGGTTAAAATCTGATCTCGACCTTTTGCTGCATGTTATCCCTCACTCTCTCTTCCCAAAATTTCCTCTCTTTTTCTGCTGTCCTATCCAATGAAGGCCAAATAATAATTAAAAAATGATCAGAATGAATGATAGCAGCAACTCTAATGACTGCGCCTCCGCTGTCAAGATGGCAGCTAAATGCTCAAGTACTGTGTCTCACTGTCATGTACTCTTCTTATTCAGTTGACTAATTTCCTCTTTTCTCTCCTCCATCTCTTCTCTTGACGTTTCCTCTTGCTAGATGAGAACGACTCGGAAAGTTTCCGTGTGGCCTGTGGCATTTGTGGGCGGCTTGCGGTACGAGTCCCCCAAGGTCAATGCAGCTGGAAAGGTGTACGGCTGGAAGACAGTTTTCGACCCGCATAGGCCCTTTGCAATCGACATGGCTGGCTTCGCTATCAACTTAAGGCTCATCCTCTTCAAGCCACAAGCCTATTTTAAGCTCCGGGGGGTAAAGGGAGGCTACCAGGAGAGTAGTTTACTTCGGGAACTCGTCACACTCAACGACCTGGAGCCTAAAGCAGCCAATTGCACTAAGGTAATTTCTTTCTTCTAATTGACTTGAACACTCAGTAGTTAAGGGGTTTTTGTGGATGGAAAAAAATGATTTGAATGTGTCAAATCTTAGCCAAATGGTGTAAAAAAAAAAAACAATCAAAAACTGCCAATTTATCTATGTACGAGGTCAAGTCCTGCATTCTAATCCTATTAGAGTAACAGTGCAAAAGTGTCATAAAAAAAAATCTACCTGATATAATTTAAAGTAAAAGTGTTTGTTCTACAGTCAAATGGAAACCGATTGATCATTTTGCACAACTAATAACTTCTTAATATAATATTTGGTCATTGTACGGTGGTTCCCAACTTTGGGCTCCTTCAAAATATCAACAGATAAATCTGAGAGCTTGTGAGATGATTAATGATGTAGAAATGAAGTTAATTTTCTTCCCAGCACACATTATTGACACATTAAAAAGGGCTCCACGACCCATTTTCAGGTCCCGACCCACCAGTTGAGAACCACTGCTGACAGAGGTCACAGGTGGGAGCAACGTTCAAATTAAACTATTAATTAAATTGTATTGGTTTATCATGGGTTTGATCATGAAATCTTAATAAGAGTAGGTATAACCAAAACAAGAATAAACTTTATTACTGTGTTACTGTATAACTTTATGTTTATGTTATCATCGCTGTTCAAAGCATTCTGAAAAGTTGTGGTCAGTGGTGGCCTGTTGGAGTGGGACTGAGGGTGGTTTGGGTGGTGGGATGAGTGAAGGAGACAAGAGGATGTGGGGAGGGATGAATGGCTTTCTATTTTGTATTTTGTGCATCAAGATAATGTAATAAAACATATATAAAAAAGTGTCTAACTTTAAAATGTAGAGTTGGATAGAGAGGCATAAAACTTCTTTTCACTTCTGGTCATAGTAAACTTGTAACCTGCAAAGCCATGTGCTGTATATTTTCACAGTGCTATATTCAGGCAGCAAACTAGACATTATAGCAGATGGGTATATTCTGTGTCAGACTGACATAAAAAAACTTTGTAGCTTCAGTCTATCAACCTTATTCCTCTTCCAGCCATAATACCAGTAAAACCAAACACATTATTTTTCATGAATACATAAACAAAGTCAAATAAATTGATCATTCTGTATAATATCAACTTTGCAAAAGACACAATGCATTTTATTATAGGCAGTTTCTGAACCTCAGAAATACAGGAATTATGTAAACTTGGGACACATTTCTGGTTACTTAAATGTATTTTTGTTATGTCTTTGTTTTGAGAGAGCTGCTGTTTTAAAATGTTCTGAATTTTGCTTTATCCTCATAATGGGTGTGCTTAAAAACACTAGGTATTGATCATTTTAACCCTTACAAAAAAGCAAATGAAAGCAAATTTCCCCAAAAACTGTCTTAACTATTGCTTCATAGGAAGACCAAATGATGTTATAAGGGGGAAATAGATTTAATATGATCTTGCAACATTCCATATCAGTTAATACAAAATGGTAAATGTTTTCTTGTTGGCTTATCCGGACAGGTTGATCATGTTGGTTTATAAGCTAAACATGCTTCTTTAAGGTCCCTGAGCTTCTATAAATGAACATATTTCATTTATTGAGGCTGCTGTTTTGCACATCCTCCCTTAAGTTTCTTTTCACCTTCTTCTGCAATATCTTTATTTTAAAAAAAAAGGATGAACACAGGATGATTATGTTGCGGTGACAATGTCAATAAGTGCAAACTTGTTGCTGAGAGGTTTAGTATCATTGATTATATTTCTTGCACTGCCCACTCAAACTCTTCCACACAGTAACATGTTTGAGAAAGAGCTTGTGAGCAGCAGCAGCAGCAGCGTTCTTCTCCATGCCCGTCCTGCTTACAGCTCTTGGTCTGGGTCACATCTCTTAAGCCTCTCTGGGCAAGAGGAGTCAGCCAGAGGGCTTTAGCTCGCCAGTATCCATCCTGCGATCACCTCCACAGAGGCACACACACAAAGAGAGAAAGATGGACACCGAGAGACACTTTCAGCCAGCTTTCTCTCCTGCTACCTCCCAGCCATTCACAAGGGTAAATGAAAAGAGGGGATTCAGGGAACGGCTGAGAGAGGGGGGGATGTCAAACTGATTACAGATGAGCGAGGGGATGGACAGAAGGGCGGGAGGGAAGGAGGAAGAAAAAATGGAAAGTCGTGCGTGGGCATTTCTCTTCCTTATAATCTAACACTTCAGATGCGAGCGTGACTATTAACCTCCCCCTCCCCCCAAATACACCTGAGCAAAGAGGGAGTGGGCTCTTGGCACATCTCAAACATGCCCGATGCATAATTCATGGCCGCTGCCACGGTGAGATGAAAGGGGACGAGTTCCAACACAGAGAGGAGCGGGGGGGAAATGAGCTTGACATTTTTTTTCTTTCCCCCCACCCCTCTTCTCCTTGCCATCCTATCCCTGGATGTTTTCTCTGGTCCGAGGGAGGGGGGGCAAATTAACCCAGTCTGACGGCTCGGTAACACACTATCATATACTAAGGAGAGCTGTGCAAAAAAAACTAAAGTGCCTCTGCAAAAAGGGAAAAAAAAGCTCATACTGTGTGTCGAAGCCTTTTGAATCACCTGTCATTTGAAAATTAGCCATCATCCCATGGTCTGCACAAGACTTTACACAGGCTGTGACATCTTTGTAAGATAGCACACTCGTGGTTCCTCTTCACTCCCCTCTAATGCTGGGTCCATGCTCAAGTAGCTCTTTACACACAGACAGGTCCGTTTGGAGCTATAACTAGAATTGACTGTTTTGAAGAACTTGAGGCAGAGAGTGCTCTGAATGAGTGCATTAAGGGAACAGCATGTTACTAATGCTGCTGTCATTTGTGTTTCCCTTTTCTCACAAGATACTCGTTTGGCACACAAGAACGGAGAAACCTGTGCTCGTGAACGAGGGGAAGAAAGGATTCACAGACCCCAATGTGGAGATTTGACCCTTTCCTCCCGGACCAGGGTAATTATTCTCTGTCACATACAACATTAACCCTCATTGTTCTTTAAAGGCTTTATATGTGATTTTTTGATCCAGCAGATGTCGCCCTTGAGCACCAGCATGAAACCAAAACAACTCACACTGCATTGTTGTGTTAGCATGCTAATGCTAGCGATCTTTATTATGCTCGTATCGTCACACTGCATGTAAATTTACCTAAAATGAGCGTGATCTAGAAACACAGTTAAGCAGTGAGTACAATATGTTATTCTTCTTTTCTCTAGTCCCTCAATTAAACTACTTTTATACACGAGGGGAGGAGTCAGCTGGTCGTCCCGGCGATGTAAACAAACTGAAGATAGGACTCTGAAAACTCTGAAAACATCACAGACAGTGGGACTCGGGTGTTACACCCATTGTAGACAGTCATGACTCACAGAGTTATTTTCACTTTTGATTTCTATTATATTTACGCATATAAAGCCTTTAAACAAATATCCTGCAGAAGGGAACCAGCCATGACCTTTACCACGTTCTAATCAAATTCATCAAACAACAAAAAGAGCAGGTGTTCTTATTATTTCCGATTATATGGAGCATTCATTTCTAAATGTGATTTCTCTTAAGGCCCAATCACAGCAGCTCTTACTTAATTAAATGCCACTAATGAAATAAACAGGTTCAATTGACGTGTATTACGGTTTAGCACTCTTTCTCAGCATATCTTAATCCTTTCTATTGCAGTTGATTGGCCTTGGACCTGCAGAGGAGGAAAAAAAAAAGAAGCTGAGTCGCTTGATAAGTGCAACCAGCGCTCAAGTCTTAATCATGAGAAAAAAAAAGGAAATGGGGCCTTTGAAAGAGGATTTAATCCTCTTGGCTGGATCTGACATTTAAAAAAAATATGGACTCCATCAGTCTAAATGTATCATATTAAAGCACAGATTAGTACGAGGCAGCTGGTTGCTCGTCTGGTCTAAGACTGAAGTGCAGAGGAGACAACGCATCACAGGGCGGATTGTGGACGGACGTGACCTGCACATTCACGGCCAACTGAGGACATCCTTACAAAAGAGACAGCACAATATGACAAGCATACAGCCAGCAGATTCAACCAAACAAGCAGGTTCAAGAATATCCTTCACCTCAAATGACTGAAGGGGGAAAAAAAAAGACTAATATTGTCTGGATCTGCACGTGGTACGAGAAGAGAGGAACTCCTCTCGACCACAAGGAGAAACATCATCAGCCCGGACAAACACCCAACTCTGAGAGCAAATGTGTCTCGTCTGGATTTTTGCAAACACAAACACTGCGAGGGGAAGGAATGTTCTTTTGATAACTATGAAATGTTTGCTTTAATTTAATTGAATTCCTTTTGACAAGCACTTGACTTGCTAGTTCAATTCTCTTGACTCTACCTACATGTACTCTTGGGTTATCATTGTTCATTTTAGAGTGTCATTATTACTCATGCATTTAAAGTCAACCAAACACTTGAGGAGAGAGACTGCTGTTTTAAATGTGAGCCCCCACCCCCCCCAACCCCACCCCTCGTCCCCTGGTGGGGCATGGTAACACATTCAATCCCAACGCTCCTTTAAGCACTTATAAAATACACATAAAAGTCTCTTCTTTTCCCTCCCATGGTGATTTCCTCACATTGACAGATGACATGGCACAGGTTCATTCTAGGTTCAACACATGGATAGAGTTACAGCACATCACCAATCTCATTTGGTAACAGAAACTCCACTTTGTGACACGTTCAGAACTTTAAAAACCAGCTACACGGTAGATTTATGAATGCTGAACTAATTGCAGTACTATGACAGAGGATTAGGGCCACGTCACATTTATTTAAAAAAAAAATAATTTACGAGAATAAAGTCGTAAATTTACGAGATTGAACTAGTATTAACTAGTTCAAAACGACTTTAATCTTGTAAATTTACTACTTTATTCCCGTAAATTTACAACTTTATTCTAAAATTATATGTTTTTAACATGGCCCTAATCCTCCGCCGTACAGTATAAATGCCATATAAAGTTTAATCTGTAAAATAGAGAGTAAGTATAGTGAGTTAAAATGCCCATCGTCCATGCACTCCTAAAGGTGGGGTCCCTCTCCTCTCTTAAAAAAAAATATGTCTGCCATGTGAAAGAAGTGGAATTAACTAAAAGCTAAATAAGGACGCTCAGGCTACATCTGCTAACTTATATTACAACTCACCTTCAAAGAGTGAGAAATAAATCAAACATTCAGATAACTGATGCATGGCCCTAAATATTGTTTAGAAGATTCCACTGATGAAACTAGATAATGCTACTTTCTAATTAACAGCAGGCTAAAGAAAAGCACAACAAAAATGAGTCGAGGATTTGGTAGCAACACTGACTGACCACGTTCGCTTCTGTGTGTCATGGTTTCACTTTGTATGAGTATCTGTTTGTTGTACATTCACTGGATCACAGCAGCAGGGACAATAGACATCAGAAGGCTGACGCTGCGTGCTGAACACTGTAACAAAGTTATTCTACACCTCGTATAATAGAACCTCTTCCTCAAACTCTATAAATCATCCCCCTCTCTATGGTAGCTCTTATCTAACACTGCCCTGCAGAAGTAGCTGGAGATAATTCAAACAGAGCCTCTGTACTGTTGCCAGATTATCTCTGTGCAGTACCCCCCCCCCCCACCCTTCAACACACACAAACCCCAAAATACACCGCTGCAGTATCAAAACTTACAAAGACGTCACAGCCTCTTTGGGCTCATCAGCCAGGAGAAAATTGTGTTGTCTCATATTTCACTCATTCAGACACTGGCTGTTTGGTGACGCTCATAAAAAGTGTCCCTTTTCAGTGACTCCACATAACACACAGGAATCGGCAACTACTTTACAACTTGTTCCCCATTTTTTATTCTTAATAAAACACATTTTATTATATTTATTAATGTATTTATTGCAAGTGTGGATGTCGATTCAATCAGTGTTTGCCCTTAAATCTGTATTTTCCAACTGCTCTCTAAAAGGCATGAATACTGTGTTATTGGTCAAAGTTTGGACACACCCAGGGGTGTGTCCAAACTTTTTTTGACTGGGGTGGCCCAACTAGGGCTCTGACTTATGTAGGGGAGCCACAAATACCCTGTCTAACTTCACCAATAACTACTTTATAACACAAGATGATTGGTTGTAAAATTAAGTCCCACAGGGACACAGGGATAATAGCCAATCACAGTTTTAGGATTTTTGGGTTGGCACTTATGGTGGCCAATCAGGCTTCTAGGGGGGGCCCGGGTCACCCCTCTGGACACGCCATCTTCTCTAAAGCTTTGCTGTTCCTCTGAATTCTACTGGATTGGTCGTTACTAGATTTGAAGATAAACGCTGAATTTATCTGAAAGGTTGAGTTACACTTAAAAGGGTGTCAACGTCTGTATTTGAACATTTAAGAAGCAGCATAACTTTTCATTTTGTTAAGGTTCACAGTAAAACTGAATTTTCATTAACGAGCAGTTTCCTGATTGAATACAATTCTGTGATACTCTGTGGTGTGACCTGAAACAGAAGAACAATTTATAGTCCTTTAACTCACAACTGATGCTGTTACAATCATCTGATTTTTTTCTTCTCCCTCTGAGCAGATGATGTATTAAGCAATATCTAACACTCATGAAGAATAAGTCTGTTAGAACCATCCGACCTGAGCGTTTTTCTCTGAGGGCTTCTCTAAGGCACAATACACTTCACACACGCGCACACACACACAAGTCCTACCTTTTGCCTCATCTCCATTTTCATCTTCCAGTCTCATGTGATTCACATTTTATGCATGTGACTCTTAAGGTTGTTTATTTGCCACAGCTATTTTGTCTCAGAGAAAGATGATAGTTGAATCAAGAAAAATAAATAACTGAGAAGAATCTGACTAGTGCTCGGGTACTGTGTCTGTTGGCTTTGTGTGTGTGTGTGTGTGTGTGTGTCTTTGGAAATCTGGCACATTTTGCCCCGAGGGCGTGCATGAAGAAGCACATTACCTTGTTGAGAAACACATTGATGACACCCTGATGCAGCAGTTGTACATATTTTACCACATCTGCTCTGTGGGCAGTAACTAACAGTATTAATATAGTTTAATTATTACAGCTGGTGCATTTGGAATTTATGTGAATTGTACTTTTAATACAGCTAGTTTACATCATTATCATGCATCATTTGAAGCGTCAGGTCAGACCTATTGACCATGTTCTATGTCTTCATTAAAACTTAAACTTTTAGCTTGATGATGATTGATTTCCAAATTAGCAAATACTTTGGCCTTTTTAGAAAAGCTGGTGCAAACAGCTCAAAGATGTCATCCTTACAGGAAGCCTGACCTCCAAATTACACAACACACTTTGAATTAATGTCCAATCACAGCTTGTGATTTTGCCTTTTTGCCGCCCCTCCCCCCCTCAATATCATACAAAGGAACAAATTAAATGTTTTTGCAAGATAAATAAAACCTTCTCCTTGGACGTGGATGCTCAAAGCAGCCAACCGTTTTGTGTAGGCTTTTGAAATGTCTAAATCCATCCTCTGTGGAACACTTTATTAGCCGTGCTCTGTCACAGTCCTTTTGGTCTCCAGTTGTAATACATGACTTGATGATACAGTTACTAACGACGTCAGTGCCGTAGAAGACAAAGCTCAAAGCGACGGCCTGAGTCATGCACTCTCCAGCTCCTCTCCTCTTCCATCCTCCCCTCTCACCTCCTGGCCTCACTCGACATCAACAGTCATGCCGTAGTCAGGGCTGCTAGCAAACTGAATCTTACCATCTGTTTCCTGCTCCTCAAACACTATGACCTGTGAGGAAGCAAAAAGATATAAGAGTTTAGAGTTTAGCCGAGGTCATCAGAGGGCTGAGAAAGTGGGTGGCTGTGCACAAACGCAAATATATGCACCCTCAAGTAAAAAAAGACTTTTGGTTTGGGAAGTAGGAGATACACAAAGATGTAGAATAAAGTAAGATATTTGAATCACAGTATATATATATGTAGCTGCATACTGTATCTGCTGACTTGTGATGTTCATCTATTTCACTGTAATAGTTGAGGTAAAGAACAAGATTGCACACAAAAAATTCAACATCTGCAACCGTGCATTCTCAAAAATGTTTGGACAATATTTACTTGTAACTGATGGGCATCAAAATGCATACACAGGGGGGATAGAAAATGTAATCAGAGTACCTACAACATTGGAATATTAGGGATTTGAAGATAATTAATCATAATTGAATTTATACAAACTTTCAATTGAATCTGACAAATGGGATAAGGACATTTCATAAATTAATCTAATAACTCTGCTCCAATGGAAAGGATTAATAAAGGATTTTTTTTTAAATTGTTAGTTAGAAAAAGCAAAATGACCGTTATATATTATTTAATATACTTTGTTTCAAAAAAGTAAATTAAAAATCAGAAATAAATTATAGGACTGATAATTTAAGTGTTTATTTTGGTCTTTATTTCACCAATAGTTTTTCTAAAGCCATAACTGTTCTATTTGGCGGCCATTTTTATAGAGATCCAGACACACCAGCAACAAACAGTAAAATGAACTGGTGAAAGCATTCCAAAATGTTTTTTACTATATGGATACATCATACTGAAGAGGATTAGGGCCACTCAAAGCGGATTTTTCTTTTTTTTTTTTTTTTAATTCTGAGAAAAAATATTTTCATTTTGAATTCTAAATGAAATCTCAGAATTCTGACTTTCATAGCATTAGCATTTGTAAAAAAAAAGAAACGACAGAATATTGAGGCTTCAGAAAATTTAAGTGAACACTTACATTAAACATGCCTTTACATTTTAAGCTGTGGTGTCCCTTCTCACTAAAATGGTCATGACTGTTAACTAAACTTCCCACTTTATATCACTGTAATGAGAGAATGTTTGAAAAACCCTGTCATGTAACTTAGGACAGACTCGGGCAGAGATCATGTGTAGTCTGTGATGTACTGTACCTGGTTAGTCCCTCTGTGCAGCCAGGGGCCTGGGACATACAGAGTCTGCTGGGGTCCGATGGTCCAGTATCGGCCCAGGTTCCTGCCGTTGATGAACACTACACCTTTCCCCCAGCCCTGATAACACAACCAGAGATTGTTTCACCATGACAACAGGCAGGTTCAGCCAATTAAATGCTGAAGGGTTAAAAGGGAAACATGTTGATGACTCCCAAACAACACATGGTTAGCCTTCATCTCATCTTTAACACATCATAGGTCTTTGTAATTTGGATTCTTGAGGTAAAATAGAAAGATAAGATATTTTTTGTTCAATAATGTCACTACCAAATTAGATCAAATACATTTTATTCTCTCAATATATCCTATGATTTGTGACCAAAACACAAATGTCACTATACTGATTGAGTTTATACATTTAAAATGACCTAATAGGGATGCTGGATCTGCTGATAGAAATGTGTGCTCATAGCTACAATAGAAGGAATCCCATATCTAATGAATGTGTAGTGGAAACAGCTCCCAGGAGCAGACCAATATAAATAAATATCATTGCTGTTCTAGTAAAATACTTTTACCAAAAATGGCCAAAACACCAAACAGGACTTAGAGGTTACCTATATAAATGCAGGCCACTTAATTCCTGCAAAATGCAGGAGAGGACAGCCTGAAATGAATGTCTCATTGAACAAAATACACTCTAAACATGATCTTTTTCAATTTAAATATCATAGTTAATCTTTAAGATTATATTCCAGATACCCTAAACACCAGCCATGACACTGTACTGTTGTTTAATATAACAGCTCTACCACTGTCCTGGGGTGTAAGCCCCCTGACGGTCCTACTTACAGGGAGCTTGATGAAGGTGTCTTTGGGAAAAGTGTCCACATAGAGTTTGGCCTGAAAAAAACCAGGGAAGGAGGGTCGCTGAGGCATGGACATCCATTTGCCTGAACTCTCAAGTCTGTAAGAAGCAGAATACATTTTTTTTTTTTTTTTTTTTTTTTTTTTTTAACTCTCCTCAAATCCTTCACTTTTTCCCCCCTTTATTTTCAACCAAAAGATCCTTCAGTCTTGACACACTGCAATGTCCCAGTACAGTGTATCATGCAATTTGTGTTTCTATGCCTAAAGTAAATGTCAAGTCAAAGTTTGGGCGTGTATGCCAGGGGAAATATTAAGTCCCTATCTTTGCTGTGGCCTTACAGTAGGTTATGTTTTGCCTCTGAGTAAATTCAAAAGGTTGCCATGATATAAGACCAAAATTCCCTCCTTCTCCATCCATGTTTAGTGTTCATTCCAACAGGGCTTCAGGCCCTGACATTTTCAGGATGCTGCTTAGGTAAAGATACTGCAATTGTTCAAAAGATGAGAGGACCAAAACAGTGCCTATAAACTGTTGTAAGACAGCTTACTGTCAGTTTTTTATTTAACCAGGAAAGAAACTCATTGAGATTAAAAATCTCTTTTTCAAGAGTGTCCCGGCCAAGACAGTCAGCAAAACATTCACAGAGTTTCACATGGACAACAAGCAGCCAATCTTTCAAATACATTAGACATAAAAAGACACAAATAACAAATCCAAACAGCAAATGTTTGTCATAAATCATCCACAAACACATCAGGAAGAACATCTACAGCCAGATGTGTCCACCTCCAAGTCATTTAACTTCCTCTTAAAAGCATCCAACGAGAGAAGTTCATTAAGTTCAAGTGCATGTATAACCTCTGAAAAGAAAGGTCAAAATAAACGAGTGACCCTGATGTTAATCATCCATGCAGCTAATATGAGTTGCAATCATAATCGTTTGAAGATTACACTGAAAAACGAAGATTTTGTGCATGAAAAATCTTGTGGAAGACATTTGTATTCACACAGACGATGCATGTGATTAGCAATTAGATGGAATAATAATCTTGTAATAAAGCAGTACCGTGGAGGAGTTGCAAAGGAACATTAGGTGCACTGGGTCCTCTATATTTGATCACCCAGCACAGCCAAATCTGTATCCCTGGCTGTAAATTCAGTCTTACTGCCAGTGTCTCTATATTCATTAAATGGCTCAACACTTCATACTTTTCCTATCTTTCAATAATGTTCATTCTGTAGATTATTAATATTTTATGCTGTCACCTCTTGTTTAAAAAAAAGTCAATGTTGAGTCTTAGAGCCTCACAAGCATCAGCCTTGTTATCTAACTGCTTATAATTCCACATTTAACACGAGCTACTGACTCGGAAGGCTTTGTTTTTATTTGTGAATTTTGACATCGTGTTCCCATTGTAATTGTGCTAAGCAGGGAGATAATCAGCTAGATTAAATCAGGAGCAGGCAGGTGTAATGACAGAGAAACAAACATGGAGAGGAAAGTGAATAATAATGAAAAGACAACAAACCTGTTTACAAAGCCTGGCTTCAGACTCAGACTATGAATAATGAAGCCTCGGAGGATGCTCTTGTTTAACTCGATATCTCCAACAAGCCCTGAAAGGTGAGTCAAAGGTGCTCTCACTTTCCTTTGGATCTTAAAGACACTGGTAATTAGATGCTTTCAGAGTCTGTAATTGCAAAGATCATATGGAGAGACGTGCACTGACTGCACATCTACAAAACCAGTTTACATGTCAAAGTGTTACCTTTGCGCTGCATATCCAGAGTTTTCCCATAATTCACTCTTCCACAATTCTCAACCAGTAAACTCAGCGTTCTTTTTCCCTTCAGTGGAAGAATGCGTAAAACAAGAGAGGCGTTACTAACACACAGAGGTATTTCTCAATGGAAAGAATTAACAACAAAAATAAGAGTGAATAATAAAAAAAATATATGGTTTTTGGCAACTGGAGGCTGATCTGAATTTCTATAATGTTGACATTCACTATTCAAATTTGTAGAGATCGGGGCGCACTGGTGGCGCAATGGTTAGGGCGCGCGTCCCATGTATTGAGACTCTCGTCTCGAGCGGTAGGCCCAGGTTCGCTTCTACCCGTGGCCCCTTTCCGCATGTCATTCCCCACTCTCTCTCCCTGGTTTCCCACTCTATCCACTGTCCTCCCTCTGAATTAAAGGTACGAAAAAGCCCAAAATAAATCTTAAAGATAAAGAGTGGTTTGAAGGTCTGCTGTTGGCTGAATATTGGGACCATACTGTCAGAAACATCTATCGGCATCCTCTGAAGCTTTCACACACTGCTGGATGTTAAATATTAATAACTTCATTCTTCTGAATGACACCAGCAGCAGACTGGTTTAAAGTTCATAGACAAGGTCACTTACACACATTAGTATGTTTGCACTCTCTCTCTCACACACACACACACAATACCTTTCCTTCAGGGAGTGCAAGTTCTTGTGTTTTATTATCCATAACACCCATCAAATGTTTGTCCACAAAAACCTGGGAGGTAAGAAAATCAACATTAATTGTAGTTGTAGTTAATATGATTAGATGGATACATTATGACATATAAAAAGCATGAAGCACATATATAAGAGCTTCAGATTCAGTCATTCACTCAAGAGGACATATTCTCCCCCTCCTCCACCTTTTCAAACAGTCCTCTGTGGTCTAAATGAAACATCTGTGCTGTGCTTTGATCAAAATATAACATGAATCAAGCATCAGAGGAGTTTTGTGACCCTGTATAAACCAGCTCTCTCAGAACACTCCGTTTTGGTGTGTGTGTGTGTGTGTGTGTGTGTCTCTTTAAATTAAATGAGCCCCCCCTGATTTTCCCAGTAGACATCATTCCTCTGTAGCAAGACTAAAAATGGCGAACCTGCGCTAAAGTTTTGTTCTAGGCTGGAGGTGTAGTCCATGGGTGGAGATATCAGGGGAGGGGAGGGGATTTTTTTATACCAGAATCCCACTGTGATGTCACAAGGAGAGTAACTCTAAAACGGAGCACTTTCCTCTGCGTTGTAAGACTTAATCATACCACAAACATAAGACTGGATGTGTTTATTTCACATTTTGTGGGTCAGTAGACACTCAGGTTACTCAAATATATGTCCAAAAACACTGTCAAAGTGGATTTTTTATAATAATAGTATGTCCCCTTTAAGCAACTGTTTCCATCAGCAGCAACTTGTATCAGCCTAAAGTTGTTCACTGCTCTCTACCAGTAAATCATCAGTTGTACATCTTTAACTAGCAGACTAGAGTTTTATAGAAGTTCTCACAAAGATTGTGTGAATGTGTGACAGCCCATCCTCACCAGTGCTCTGTCCCTGATGTTGTTGTTTGAGTTGAGGCTTCCTGCAGCGGTGATGGAGGTCTCGTACAGCGTGTAGCCGTAGGATTGGCCATTGTGATTGTTGACGGGGAGATTCTCCATGTTCACCGGCTTTTCAGACTTAAATGGCTAAAACAATATATGCAGATGAAGAAAATTTAATGAATATGTGTATCTTCAGGGAAGTTTTTGTTGAAATCCTTAAATATTGTTTGCTTGTTTAATTGAATAATGTATCCCAAATGAAGCTTTCCTGTCTGGCGTTCAGAACAATCTCTTTATTCACCCACATTCTTCTCATGCCCTCGGGAGGTTGCATTATGCACTCTTCACAAGACAATAAACACTTCCTGCTCTGACACGATTAACCACCTACCTCCGAACACACTGACACGATATCAAACTCTTAACATCCCACTCAGTCTCTCAGAAGACAACAAAGAGAAAAGTCTCTTTTTTGAACAGGGGCATGGGGCTGGTCAGGGGCAAAGTAATCGTTGTCTCAGAGGGAAGCAAATTATTGCGACGGGGAGTGAATAATTAATGTTGTGAGCAACTGGCAGACTTGCTACATCTGGTGTGAATATAAATGGCCCTGAAGAGCATGGTGTAAATGGCTGACTCAAGTGGTGGACATGAAAGCAAACAGACATTATGACACCCTGCAAACACTCTTTTTTTTTTTTTTACAAATCGTTTTTTGTAAAGAGAGATTTTTGTAAGTCATACTTTTCCACAAGATCTCACTTTACAGCTCTAAAGCTACACACAGTGGATTTCTGATGTCTTCAAGAGGTCTGGATCAGGAGCACCACTGCACCAGATGTTCATTAAGGAATGTTACACCTTCAATTCTGTGCAATTCTTAACAGGTGAGTTTCAGGTGTGTGGCAATAAACAGATCACAAAAGTGAAAAAAAGAAATGCTCTGTCACTCAGTTCACTTATATTTGTTTTGACTCATTGAAGGAGTTTTTTGGTGATTTGATTTCAAAGCTACGCAGATTAATGTTGTCTTAAGTGTTGAACAAAATTGTGATTCAGGAGGGACATGCTGCAAACAAAGGTATTGTATCAAACATGTAGAACAACAGATAGACAAAGAAACTACAGCGATGCATACTCGGCTGCAGCCTCTACCATCACTGTGTGACTGTAGAGTGAACAGAGACGTTTCCTGCTTTATGCAGACTATGCAGCTGGCCCCCGCAGCCACTAGGGGGACCCTAAAGCTGCACGTACAGACTCAATATACGGTGTTTGGGAAGAACTAAAATAACCTGTCTATTTGAGCCAGCCAATAGACATGTCACATGTTCAGTGAAGAACCCGTATTCTTAAAATTAAGATCAGGGTTTTAAACAAAAATAAGCTTCTGTGAGAGGGAAGCTGTGGCTCGTGTTTGTGGGCTAGTCAAGTCAAAATCATCATTGGGCTGTCACACAAAGGAGTGACGTCTGCTTACAGGTATGGGATGCTGACTTCCACTAATCGAGCCTGTTTCCCTCTTAAAGCAAAACAGATTGATGCATCTCTACAAATCATCTGAATGGATTAAGAATCACTTTATTGTAGTTTGACAAATTAGTGGTCCCCCAAACAGTATCTTGCATATGGCCACAAATAAGCTAGAAACGGCCCTGGGTGTGAATGGGTGAATGTGGCATGTAGAGTAAAACCTGCTTTATATATAATAAAAGCGTCTATATTAACCACTTTACCATTTAAATATTCATTGTACTTCATGTCCTAATCATTATATTAAATAATGTAATTGCACAATGCAGATTTCTCAAATACAGTCCACAGTCCAGACCTAGCCTGGAGCTTCCCCAGGGATTTTCACAGCTTCATTTTTGGCTTCCATGTCTTGTATTAAGGGTTTCATGTGGTCTTTTGTCTGTCTAAACATTGCAATTCTGGTTTCCTGCACGGCTGATTTTTTATGACTTTTGTGCTCCTCTCTGAGTCTGTAGCTTACCTTGTCATTGAGATTCAGACAGTCCCACAGGGACAGGTACTGCGTGATGACAACGGGATGGTACGCCCTCCTCTCCTGGAGAGAGGGCAGTTCATGGAGAGGCTGGGCTAGAAAAACAAGGAGCAGACCGCATGATAATGGGCAGTTCGTCTACCTGTATATGAATTTATTTTCATTTTATTATCCTCTTTTGAGATGCAAACAAGTGCAAACACACCTTCGCAAGACATTCTGTATTTATTACAACAGCAAATATACATAGGCCTTGTATATCACATCCAAGAAAAAAGGGAAAAGTTCCACCTTTTTAAATGAAATTAAACTCTGTTAAGTCCCAAAGCAAACACTTAGAGCTGATTTATAAAAAAGTAGAATGACGTATTTCTTTTAACTCTTCATTAATCAGAGTAATTTGACATGTTATGTCTCTTCACCAGCTTCCAGTTCTTGGCTCAGTATTTCTCTATATTATGATAACCATTGGTTGCCCTTCCCACTCCTAAGTGCTTTTAGAGGTGTTAAAGCATACAGAGACACCAGCCGTCCCTCTGGAGAAGACTTGACAGCATTTTCTTAACACCAAGCAGTAACAGCAGGAACACTTAAGGAAAGCTTAGAACATAATAGCCAACACATTTCTTCTCCAGATTGAGTCTTTGGTAGTTCACATGATGTGTTACATTAGAGATAGGAAGAGTGCTCATTGAAAAGTCATTTCTATGAGACAAAGATTTGGAATTAGAAAAAAGAATAAGGCGAGTAAGGGGGCACCAGATGCCTAGTGGTTAGTGCGCACACCCCATGTACAGATTCTTTAGTCCTCCAAGGAGACGGCCTGGGTTCAAGTCTGACCTGCGGCACCTTTCCAGCATGTCATTCCCCACTCTCTCTCTCCCCTCATTCTGACTCTATCCACTGTCCAATCTCTAAATAAAGGCATAAAAAGTGTTAAAAATATTCAGTATCAATTCAGTTCAGATTTAGTCATGTTCGACATTTGACTTTCCCCACAAAAGATTCTGAACTCCTTTTGGGAGAGGGGGGGTGGGGTGTAGGTTTTTATTTTTGCTGTTTTTTTCTATCTTTATAAAAGCAATGAATATATTTTCAAAAAAGAAAGAAAAAAAGAAAAGAAAAACCTTCCAGAAATAAATAAAAATTAAATATGTCCATTAGACTTTACACAACAGAACCAAAACACTTGTAATGATTTAGGATAGAATAAGGTAAGGTCTGTAAAAAATAAAAATCATTTTAGATATAAAAAAAAAAAAAAAAGATTCTGAACTGACGACTAAGGCCCAGTGTCCACCTAGTGTTTTTCCTGGGCTGTACAGCGCTGGCTGTGCGCTCGGGAGTATTTGCATGAAGCACTGCACACCCATCCTGTCTCTATGACAACAGTCTGTTTACAATGGATGAATGAATGCTTCAAAATAAATAGAAAATACAATTCAGAAAGATGAATACTGAGTTATACTTCAACCGCACACACTGTGTATTCTAGATGAATGTCTAGCTTCCCAGATCTATGATGAGCCATGTTGTCGGACAGATCAGAATAAAACCATGGCACATAAAACAACACCACAGACTGAAGAGTAGCTGACAATGTAAATGATTCGATAAGCAAACAAAAATAAATATCAAGCTGATCCAATTAGGAATTAGGTCACGAGTTAGTGGTTTTCTGAGAACACTAAGCCTCCTCAGACTCCCTCATATATCCAGGCCACTGCTCATTGTTCAGCAGACTACAAAACATATGGAAGAATCACGCACATGCACACCGCCTTTCCAACTATTCTCAATCGCATCTAACTCTTAGAAATGTATTAGTTTGCTGGCTGGATTCAGTCTCAGATCACCACAAGTTTTATTTCCAGCCCTGGCCAAAAAAAATGAAAAATACTCAAGCCTTCTACCCCTGACCACAAACCCCTTTTTAACAATCAGAAAACTGCATTAGCAATTAGCCTGGAAAAGTAGTTTTCACTGTAGGAGATCACCTACATGCAAACCCATACTAACCCCCATCTAATCCACGCCTCTAATCAAATGCAAAGTTATCCTCCTTTAGCCAACAGTGGGCAGGTTGCACAAGGAGAATTAACTTTAAGTGTTGAGATGAAAGGAAAGTGAGAGAAAGAGGGACAGAAGTTATGGAGCTCGTCTCAGCAACAACAAGCAGAACTCACTGTGGTAGAGGCTGAATAAATTCCTCAGAAGATGGTACTTGGTGGTGTAATCCCCAGCCTCGGATAATGGAGCATCGTAATCTGAAAGATAATGCGCTATCAGAACAGCAGAGTCAGGGAGCCAGGGAGAGGCAGGGATGCCTCTTACCGTGGCAGATGCTTTCATTGTGCTCCCCTATCAAAACATCTTGAGACAGCAGAGGGCCAAGACACATGTTGGGTTATCTGGACAGAAAATGGAGCCGTTTGAGGCACACACACACAAAAAAATATATATAGCTGAAGGGCACTCAGAAGTGAACACAGGTGTGATGTCTGCTGAAGGTCAGAGTTTGTCTCCCCCTTTCTGTGGAGCACTTATCAGAATTCATCTCTTTCCTCAAGGAGGTCATTACAACGTTACATCCCCCAGAGGAGGCTATAAAACCCATTCTACCGTCTTTAATTCACAATTCACATGCATTTTATTGGCTAATTAATTCATCAGTGCGCAGCACATATTCAAATTTGAAAGCAAACAAAGGTCAGAGGCTTAGGAGAAGGGATAACGCCATCTCCAGACATTTTAAACACTACTCTCAATTTGTTATTGCAGTAACTTGCAACTACTTATTTTAAAAAAAGTTTTAAAAAAATACATTTGGTGTATTTCTCCATGACTGCCCTATGAAACTACCTTTCTGAAAGGTGGTGCCAAAGAGTCTTGAAGTCTGGCTTAAACAGCCTCCTCCATAATCGCCACAATAATATTTTTGAGGTTATAAATATCTTCAGCCACGAAGTGCTTCAAAAGTAAAAAGAAAAATGTCCAAAATTATTTGCTTGGTAAATGGCACTCAGAATGAGACAAATATGAAAGGTCTTAATGGTTTATCTCAGGAGAGTTACATCTTAAAGGAGCAGTATGTAACTCTGACACCTAGTGTTTAAAATGGGTACTGCAGTCCAAATTCAAAACATTGAAAAGAGCCGTCTCCCCCCGCCCCCTCCTCTCTAGAGTCGATGCGCACACGGATTGCTATGTCTCATACTCAGAAGCTTCAGTGTTTAGCCAGCTCTGCATCCGTCTTGAAGCCTTTCTGCGTTCTCACCTCTCTCAATCTTTCACATCTCCAACATTTTTCCTAATTTCATCAACTTTCTTGTCTTGGAGCTTATCAGAAAGAGAATCTTTTTAGGGCGGGTAAAATCAGTTATATCTGATAACTGGTATCATATCTGGCAAACCGAGGGGCATCCAAAACAGCTGTGTGGGGGTGCTTTAAAACCGCCATCATCATTTCGGATCTGTATCGAAACAAAGAAATTAGGACATACTGGCTGCTGCATTGGTTTCAGAGAATCCAGCACTTCAATATTCCTATAATGGCTGATGATATAGTAAGGTCATTTAATGATTTAATTCAGTAGATATCTTAAATATTGCTCCTTTAAGGAGGTTATAGCACTGTCTGAGAGGATTTGTATATGTTTGAGTGTACTTACTGTCACTGTGTGTGCAAATGAATATGTTTATGTATGAACTATTTGGGTAAGGAATACTGCTTTAAAGGCTTTATATGTGATTTTTTGATCCAGCAGATGTCGCCCTTGAGCACCAGCATGAAACCAAAACAACTTGCGCTGCATTGTTGTGTTAGCATGCTAATGCTAGTGATCTTTATTATGCTTGTATCTTCACACTGCATGTAAATTTACCTGAAATGAGCGTGATCTAGAAACACAGTTAAGCAGTGAGTACAGTATGTTATTCTTCTTTTCTCTAGTCCCTCAATTAAACTACTTTTATACACGAGGGGAGGAGTCAGCCGGCCGTCCTGGCGATGTAAACAAAGTGAAGATAGGACTCTGAAAACTCTGAAAACATCACAGACAGTGGGACTCAGGTGTTACACCCATTGTAGACAGTCATGACTCACAGAGTTATTTTCAGAGGATATACTTGATTTATATTACATTTAAGTGTGAAAAATCACATAGAAAGACTTTAACATAAGTTGCTGCCCTTTTTTCCCTCTTTTTTTTGTATTGATTGTGAGTCCTTCTGTATCATCTATTTCATATTTTTGTATGATAAAACAAATATAAACATTGACATTTTATCAAATTATAAATAAGTACATGTGTGCGTACAATTTAAAAGCATAATTATTAGAAATTATGTATACAGGTCCAACTTTTTATATGCAATTGTGTGTCCAATCCTTGTGGCATTAACCTACTCTCTTCTCCATCCAGATAGAGAATTATTGACATGTTGTTACATTCCAGTCATCACACCGTACGTACCATAGCTTGTTACCATATGCTTTGGCGCTTGTGTTCCATGTTCAAATGCCCCACTCATGAAGCCGAAGTTTGTCCCTCCGTGAAACATGTAGAGGTTGATGGACATGTCCCACATGAGGATCGTTCTGATCACAGCCACCATCTCTGTTTGAAAAGAGAACAAACAGATCTCTTTGAATGCACTAGAGGTTAATCACTCTGATGGAAACCTGTGGGTCAATGTGAGGACTAATAAATTCAAAAGCTTTACATTAAGACACAAAGAGAAGAAAATCCATTGGACTTCAGCTGTAACAAGGCAGAGCCACTGTTTCAATTATCCTATCGCCCTCAGTTCCACTTCAATTGAACATGAACGGACCTCAGACCCACATCCTATTACTGCTTGCTATAATTCATTACAGGGCAATGCTCGCACCCATAAAAAAAAATCACCTCCTCAAATTAGCAACCTACATATTACGGGGAATATGCCAGGGCAACTAGTTAAGCATTCAAATTGGACTTTAGTGGTGAAATTGGCTGCTTTTAATGGTTTGAATCAAGGGCATGAGTCTCGGTGAATAACAATGGAGCTGGGTGAGCAACAGAGGCGCGCTGGTTGCTTTCATGGTGGTGCCACTAGCTGTGACCAACTGCCGGGCGTGTTACAGTCTGGGGAGCAATGAACTGTCAAGGACATGAATCCCCCCTCAGAATATTTGAGCCTTCATTGTGTAGCTGTGACACTTTCTGCAGAGTGAGGGTCTTTTATTCCCCTCCCTCCCTGAGAAGAAAATCCATAACGAAGCCCTTTTTTTTTTCCGGTTTCAGAATGTTTTTTTTGCTGACATGTAGATGATGCCTGTTGGGAATGAATGACAGAGAGTAAAAAGAAAGTTTGAGGCTCTGCACTGTGATTGAAATAAGACGTTCCTGAGAGCACTCATGATGGTCATAGAAGCATGAGTGACTTCCATCTAAGGAAGAATGTGCAATATCGTACATATAAATACAGCAGAAATGAAGTATATCCTGTGTAAATGTCTCTGAGTCATGACTGTCTACAATGAGTGTGAAGCATGAGTCTCGCCAGCTGTATTGTTGTCGGAGCCGTGTTTACATCATGTTTACATGGACGGGATGGCCTTGTGTATAAAGTTGTTTGAGCCAAGAACTAGAGACTTGTCTTTAGATCTTGGTCATTCTGTGTCAATTTATGTGCAACATGAAGCTATGATTTAACCAAAGTGTGCTAACATTAGCATGCTAACACAACAATGCAGGCCACAGGCAATCATCTAGAGTAAAGGGCAATTTCTTTTATGAACGCGAGTGGAGAGGGGTTTGAGGTGTGCAGCTTGAGGAGAGAGGAGGCTTCAGAATAGCGGAGGTGTCACCAAACAGAAGTTTGTTTTGGTTTAATGCTGGTGCTCAAGGCCAAAGACACCTACTGGATCAAAAAGTCGCACATTCTTATTTTAATCTTTAGAATATTAATACAGGTGGTATTACTTTTGCCAGTCCAATATATTATTTAAAAAATCCCCCCGCTGCTGTTGTATGTGGACCATGTTACATGGCTGGTATGAGAGGTGAACTGCAGCTAGCTTTATATCATACTAGGATACTTTAGACTTTTAAGGTTCATATCAGATGCAGGGTCGATGGCGTATGTATTTGTGACATGCAGCTGATACAAATACTGGATTCATTGATTGTTCAAAAAAGCACATTTAAAATCAACTTATTGTTTATTATTTCAGCAATGTGACCAAATATTTGTTGGGTGCACCTTCTCAACTCTGAAGTTTTGGCCCTATAAATCACAGTTATCATAGTTAATTAAGAGCTATATGGAAATAAACTGCTACTGTCACACTCAAATGTTCACGAAAAATAAGATGAACTTACTCTTGTAATCCTCTTCAAAATGATGTGTGACAATAAGGATTTAAGAGTTGCTCTCTTTTTGGTAGCACATTCAGTGGTGAAAACTGAATAATCATTATTCCCATTGAATGCTGTTACTACTCCACCTTTAGTCCACCATACTACTCCAACGCATGTAAGGTAGAAGTCATATAGTTTTTACCCCTCAACTGGAATTCAGGATATTACATTTTAAACTTGGATTCACCATTTAAACAATATTGAAGATCAACTTGTTTCAGGTGTAATGTAAGTCAGTATTTCTGTTGTTTCTATAATTCTATGATTTCTGAAAATGTCAGTTTGCTGTTGAAATCAAAGACTTTGCAGTTCTCTTTCTGCACTGTTTTTAAGATTAAAGGATTGAGGATCCACCTGAGAACAACACTGTCTTAATATGACTGATCTTTTTTTTTTTTAGAAATAGAGACTGAACAGCCCAGCAGTATTTGAAGTAGTAAAAAGTAGCTCCACCTGGACCAATCACAACAGACTACTGTTCACAATAGCATCAATAACCAAACCATTTAATAGACATAATGTATAACGCTACAAAATGGACTTAAGCTGTGACACTCTAAGTACTATTTTCTGATAATACATGTTTTAAATGGTTGTTGTTGTTTACCATTTTCTCAGAAAATTGATTTTCATTCCAGCACTGAACATTGTTTTCATGATTTTCCTAATCTCTTCTGTGCTACTGATCAACCAATGGTGCAATAAGGATCCAATGAATGTAGCAAAGATCCAACAAAGGTAAGGAAGAGGAAGCCAGTTAGTAATCTATTGTGAATATACACAATTAAGATTTCAATTTCAGTTAAACATTTGCTTTTCAAATGTTCTCATGACAATGAATGTTCGTTAGGTACACTTGTCAGGCCTTAAGAATCAATACCCAATGTGTTAAGAATCTTACAGCGATTTCTCTGCCTGAACTCAATATGATATTGTAAAGTAGCTTATAATTAAAAGTAAACAATGAAACTATACGTTTCCAACAACCTTGTATCATTAAAAGCAGCAAAGAGCAGGACTCTGCTTGTTTCTGAGTGTCTATGTGTGGATAGAGAATTTTTTGATAACAAGGAGGCAGGGAGCATGAAACACATCCACCTGTGTTCAACACAGTCAGTGTGAATCAGTGGAGCACATCTTTGAAAAATTCCTGCACTGGCCTCTGAACATCGAATCTACGGCCCAGAGACAAAGCAGGAGGAAAGGACACAGTCTCTGGTTTGTGATATTTGGCTAAGCTCCGACCGTACATGAAATGTATAAAAAGTCTCAAACAAAGTCAGAAAAACAAGGAAGAAATAACCATATGCCAAGCTGTGCAGAGTGGGCTCTGTGCCTTTTGTGAGGGAACCAGAGAGTTAGAAATCCTGTCTTACAGTCAGTCTGGAGAATTTATCTTACACAACCCCCAGAGCCGTGAGTCTTCCCTTACCCTGATGTATCCTGCCAAAGAGACAGTTTTATTGTAGCTAAAAAGGTTTGTCTTGCGCCTTTTCTTAACCTTAAGCTGCATGGGGGACGCCGGTGTCCTGGCGGCATGGGGGGGTACGAATCTGGCCTGTGGATATTTTCCCACATATTGTCCCCTACTCTCTCTCTCTCTCCAATTTCTGACTCTATCCACTGTCCTGTCTCTAAATAAGGCATAGAAAGCCCCTCCAAAAAACCTTTAAAAAATAAACAGCAATATTCTGTCTCAGCCTTAAGGCATGCTGTTTTGCCTCCAGAGATTTTTCTTTGCCTCGCAGCGTAAACCCCGTCTTGACTCAAATGACTCAGTATTGTAGAAGTTCTGTACTGTACACTATTCTCTAAACTCAGAAAGTAACTATCAGCACAAACACTACACCTCATTCTCTTATCTCGGATCTGTTTGCTTTGCCTAAAGAGAAACTGTCGACCAATTTGAAGTCTGTTTTACCCTCAGCGGAGAAGACATGATGGAGGTCCCCCCAAACATCAAACCAGCCAGACCAGTACTCCATCACCATCTTGGGCTTGTTAGGCTGGTAGAAAAAAACAGAACAATGCAGTGTTAGAACACTAACAACCTCAAGCTACCAGGATTCATCTGAATGATCTGAAGCTTTGAGTTACTCGAGTATCAAAGCTGTCTTTCAAGGGTCAAACTTTTAGACTTTTCTCTTACAGATGTTCTTTTATCGGAAAAAGTTTGTTTCTGTTCAACCTCCAGTTAGATGCCCCTCCCCCTTAAAAAAGTAATGACTGACGAGGCGCTGGTGGTGCAGTGGTTAGAGTGTGCGCCCCATGTATGTAGGCTGTAGTCCTCCAAGCGGGCAGCCCGGGTTCAAATCCCACCTGTGTCTCCTTTCCCGCATGTCATTCCCTACTCTCTCTGATTTCCAACTCTATCCACTGTCCTATCTCTACAATAAAGGCACATAATGCCCAAAAATACATCTTAAAAAAAAAAAAGAAGTAATGACTGACTCAAAAATCTCTCCAACAATTAAAACAGTGAAACACAAAATAAGACTCACTTGTATTTTATCCAGATACTTGATCTCATCCATTCTCAGTTTCTGGAAATTGATGGTTTCTAACACTTCAGGCAAAAAATAAAGCACAAAAAATAAGAACAATTACAAACACATAAAAGTGTACAAACCAACAATTTAAAGATGTTCTTCAGACCACAAAGTGCATTGATATTAAACCTGTCTTAAGGTTCTACATTAAGATTCAGTATATAAAGGGAACTTCAACAGAATGGTCAGAGTGTTAATCAGAGATATATATGTTTGATTTATTAGAATTGTTTTTAATATGCATTTAAACATTTTTTTGAATTCCAAAAGGAGATCATGTCCTGTAGTTATGATGAAGCCAATGCTTGGTGTGCAGTGATGATAAAATCTATAATACTCATAGTTAAGAGAGAACAACCTTTGACAGCATTAAGGTGATAATGGTTAATGGCACGATTATATTGTAACTGTGATGTAGAAAAAGGAAACAAATATGATGTTTCTGGCATCAGTCCATTTATGCAAGGATACACATTCAAAAAAAAAATCCTGGACAACACTGAACCCTTTGTGGGTAGAATTTGGATCTGAGCTGCAGCTGCCTGACACTGGGCCGCCCTTGGCTCAGTCCTCTTGTTGTTGTGTGAAAAAACAATACAGCAAACACCATACAGTGTGTGTGTGTGTTTATTCTGGTGTTTGTGTATGCATGGTCTTATTTGTCTTTCAGCCTATCTGACAATACCTCCTTTCAGTCCGCCTCGCTTTAGTCCTTCCTTGTTGTCTGAGGTCAGCAGCAGCTCTGTGATGCCCCTCGACAATAGCGCCTGGAAAGAAGAAGAGGGATGGTGGAGACAACTGAGCAAAACACTGGAGTAAAGGAGACAAGTGAACGATTGAGCGAGTAAAGGAAGCAAGGAGAACTTAAAGTAAACATGTGCACAATCATCTATTAGATACCAGGTATTGTGAAAATGATGACATTATATTGTTTCTTACCTCCTTGATGAAGGGCATGTAGTCTTCATCTTCTGCATAGGAGCCATATTCATTCTCCACTTGCACCGCGATGATTGGACCACCCTTTGAGTACTGAGCAGGGATTAACCAATGAAGAGAGAACACATTATTTCCCGGCCCCAACTCTTGACCATTTGTATACTCCATAAAGCTGAACTTTAAAACAACGTGAAATGGAAAGAAGAGTTTGTTCAAGGATGAACTGATAGAGATATTCATTATCAGAGGACACTATTGATGAATTGGACCATGTTGCTGCACTTTACTGCTGACAAGATCATGCTAGAAGGGATCAAATTAGAGCCCGACTGATTGATAGCCAGCCGATAACATTGGCCGATATAGCATAACAAGTGACTATTGGTATCGGCTAACTTTATCACAGATATGCCGTTAATAGTAGATTTATTCCCCTGTCAAATATAATTTCATGTGATTTTCATTGTATTACACAAGCAGTTCTCTTTCTGGTTTTCTGCAGCTGAGTGTGCTTTATCACTCACACAAAAGAGTGTCAAGTGGTGATTCACATACACGCAGTTACTTTACAGTTGAGTGACCGTCTGGAAGTTGTTATGCTGTATATATTTTCTACAAGTGTTTTATAACCACATTTGAGGGATCAATGCAATAAATTTGTATATATCTATCTCTACAAATCGAACGTAGATCGAAGAAAGATATCGGCCGATATCGGTATCAATGTTTTTCTCTCTGAAATATCTATTTTAGAATCTGCCCCAAAAATCCATACCAGTCGAGCCCTATATAAAATGTACTGGTAAATATTAATTCTATATTGAGAAAAATTTAAACTTTTTTTTATTGCATGCATACTAATATTATTATACACATTCATTTAGTTTAAAAAATTAAAAAATAACAATTGAAGCTTTATTGTGATGTACCTGATGTGGAACAGCTCTCTTCAGAAGCTCGTTAAAGAAGGATCTGACTGCAGCAGTAAATCCTGGATACGTTGTTCTCAGTTTCATGTTCTGATCCCTCAGTAGCCAACTGAAAACAAAGATCACAACAACCTTCAAAATGTTTTTAAAAAACACAAACATTTTACAAAGTGATATGCTGTGAGCTCACTTTAGATCACTGCATGACTATCATGTCATGTGCATCAGACACAGTCATCCTTCACTGTATGTCCTTCAACACACTCAGTTTTATTTATCAAATCCTAAAAACATCAAACCAACATTTCCAATTAGAACAGTTACTCAAAAAATGTTGTACATCGAAGTATCCCCTCCAAAACTAAATGTATTCTCCTTCCAAACCTGTTTTGCTTCTAGCACTTAAAGAAATCATAATTTCAGGTAAATGAGCCTGTAAGAGACATTTCAATTGTTCTCTCAAATATCTAAAAAGGTCTAAATTATCATTGAATTTGAGTAATTGAAGTTGATAGATTATGGTGCTGGTCATGATATACTTTAGAACAGTTAACACTAATGTCATGTAAATACATGTAGCATGGACTCATCTAACCAACATCAGTTAATTGTTGTTCAGTACAAAACAGCACAGTGGGAACACTTAAAACAATTCAGATAACTAAATGATAAATTACCTCTATGAGTTGAATGGATTTAGCTTTTAGCAAAGATTCTGCTAACAAACAGATTACCTGACTGAACTAATCATTTCCAAACTAATCTAAGGGATTAACTCTGCACCCCACTGGCTATGTTAAATAATGCACGGTGCATACATATAACATTTACACAGATTTATAACTTCATTTTAGCTCTGTTTTCTTTTACCTGGGTAGACCCCCTAAATCCCACTCAGCACAGATGTACGGCCCCGGACGCAGGATCACCCAGAGGCCCAGGCTGGCTGCCAGGCGGAGATACGCTCTAAGCAAAGGACATGAAATGTCAGTAGAGCCTATCTATATGGATACACACACTTCAACATTTCCCCTACTCCAGATATTAAGAAGGGACTTTCAAAATTCATCAAATGTTCAAATGCAAATGATGTGTCAATTAGTCTGATTTCACACAATCATTTGTTTTTTAAAGATCTGACATCTGAGCAATCAACACATGTGCTGGATCAAGACCATCGTCATCAATTTATCAAGAATCATTAATACTGCCTGAGGGCACAACTAATTAATCAAAAACCTTTCTTGAGGGTAATTGTACACCTCCTCAGCAGTATCACATTATACAACACTGTTAAGGCTGAGCCTTTTTGCAATGCAACAGTGCCATCTGCAGGAGTCTAAGGTGCACAGTGTTCTCTTCATCTCTTACTCTAAATCCAGCTGATCCTCAAAGTTGAAGACCCCTCGCTCAGGCTCATGCAGGTTCCAAGGCACATACCTGAAAAAATGTCAGATTTGATATGCTTTATGTGTTTTAAAGAGAGTGTGTCATTTTTCATTTCTACTTTGCTTTACTATGATTTTTTTTTCGGTGTATGACTGTCTCCAGCAAAACAAATATCTTGCACTATTCCTTTTGGGATTGAAGGGACAGTATGTTCAACCAGCTGTGAGTTTGCAGTGGGAGCTTACGTGGTGAGTGTATTGAGGCCACAGGCCTTCATCTTCAGCAGACGGTCCTCCCAGTACGCTCTGGGGACGCGGAAGTAATGGATGGAGCCACCAAGGATGCGGAAGGGTTTTCTCTCCAGAGTGAACTGAGAAGAGTTGGCCCTCAGACCCTCCACATGAATCAGTCTTCTCCCTGATTGGGGCCGATGCCTAATGGGCAACAAACAGCTCAGAAATGAAAAAAATAACTTGTTGGAATAGTGCAACTGGATTAAAAGAAATCAAGACATATGAGACGTATAGCCTATACAAGCTTCAGAAGAAATATCTAAACTGGTTGAACCTGTTGAGAGCTGCAGGTATGACAGGTGTCTCCCTCATGGGTTATAACTGTAACCTGCTGCAAAGGATACACACAGAGAGTGTGTTCTGTACCATCGACAGGTTGTAGTTAAGGATGATTATCCTTAAGCTTTATTAATGATGTTACAGAGCGTTTTAAAACATGACTACAATTCAACACTGTGATCCAGACAACCTGAAAGGTAAATTGACTATAGGCTTACACCTTCACCGGTAAAGTGAGGACAGACACCTAAACGTACTGCTGCGTGTCATGTTGAGGATCGAAAGGTCATCAGGTGAAAGTTTATGGAGAACTTTGTTGAATTCTTGAAGAATTTGCTTATTAAAAAAAATGTAGATTTTATAAGCAAGAAAAAAATACAATTTCGAGTAAAAGTAATTGTAGACGGGGTGTTCATTCAGAGATTCATTTTTACGCATGACTCTTGTTATGAGACCGTGACGGGTCAGATATGAAAGAGACGTTTACATCAGGCTTACATCAACTTGGCTGTTTGATTGTGTCCTTACCTTATCCACTGACTGAAGAGAACTACCGCGACAGCAAACAGCAGGAGGAGATATCTTTGCTTTAGAGGCAGACGAACACAAATACCTGTTTTCACGTCCATTAGAAACAACAAGCTGCAGCCTTGTGAAAATGTTCAGTGCATATCGGAGGTCCTTCTCTGAAAGTCCCCTCTGCAGCTTTCAGGAGGTAGTCGACCGTCTATGGTCCTCCTGATCAGTAACCTGTGCAACAACAGAACATGCTGCTAATGAAGTATCACAAAGCTGTCAGATGACAAAACGAAGTGAAGTGAAGGCAATGAAGTAAAGCTACCCAATGACAACGGAATATTCGTAAGCTTACTTCCGGGGTTAATAACTATGAAAATGCAACTTTGAAAATAAGGCGGTTAGCAGTGTAACTTAAAGATATGTCGATAGATCGAAGTTAGCGTGAGTTGTCCAAGACACCTCGTGCAGACGCGCGTGCACGCCCACGTTGTTGTTTTTTTTAATTCTGGATTAATTTTGTTTTCCTTTTGAATATGAAGGTTTAAAAAAAAGTTGCACATTTTCATGAAAAAATTTTGCCTTCAAAAAAGTTGAGCATTTTCATGAAAAAATGTAGGATTGAAGAAAGTTGAACATTTTCATGGGTGGAAAAAATCATATATTTGGTAACATTTGGTAGCCTATCAAAACTGGAGGAAGTTGCTACTTAACATCACAGTCCCTTACATTTTTATTATTTGGAGGCTGTCTAATTATTTGGAATGACTTATTAGGCAATTACTTTATTGTCCCACAAGGTGATATTTGATTTTGCAGCAGGAGCACACAGAAGACAACAAACACAAGGACAACATCACTGTAAAATCTAAATAAGAGCAAAGTTAAACAATCAGACAACAACAAAATGTAAAAACAATATAAATCATTGCAATGAAATCAGTCAAGAGCTCATAACAGAATGAGAATTCCTACCAAGTTAGAAAAGTGCAAAGAGGAGGTGTGCAAATATGCAGACAAAGTGCAAAAAGAGCAACCAAATTGCTAGTTGCTATCTATGGTATATTGCATCAGGGACAAATGAGACCTGATAGTAGCCTATGACAGTATTAAACTTGCTAAATTTGCCATATTAAAGTTACTATAGGCTACCATGACGCTAACATAATACATCTATTTCCTGACTGTGCACTGCAGAGGGAGAGAGACAGAGAACTATTATGTGTTTGTACTGAAACAACAATACTTTCCCTTGTACACAGGGTGTGAGGCCTCCCAGCACTGTTCACCCTGCTGCCAAGCTCAGAATCAAGGTTCAGCTTTGGCAACATTTTCATTTTTCTGTGTGGGACTTTCATGTTCAGTCCTGGTAAGTTTTTTTTACTTTCATCATATTCATAAATAGATAGAGACAACCTTTGTAGACTAAGAGCAACACATTCATACAGCTTTTTTGACTTTTATTATCCTACTTTTAAAACTGGTTTATGAAGATTTAGCACACATTCTGTCTCTATTACATTTTGAAATGTTTCCTTTCCATCAGACATCCTTAAGGATTAAAAAGAATGAGCAGTATGGAGGGTCTGAGGGCCAACTCTTCTCAGTTCACTCTGGAGAGAAAACCCTTTCGGATCCTTGGTGGCTCCATCCATTACTTCCGCGTCCCCAGAGCGTACTGGGAGGACCGTCTGCTGAAGATGAAGGCCTGTGGCCTCAATACACTCACCACGTAAGCTCCAAATCTATCTCAACTTTACTGTTGTTGTTGAATCTTTTATAATACGTATATGTCAAGTTTTTATTTAATGTAATAAAATCATGAATGTTGGATATTAGGTGTCACTGGTGTTTAAAAGCAACAGAAAATGACTTCCTTGTATGTTTTATTTTAGATATGTGCCATGGAATCTGCATGAGCCTGAGAGAGGAACATTCAGATTTCAGGATCAGCTGGACCTTAAGTCAGATTTCCATATTCTTTTTTTTTTTTTGCCTTTTATGAGACCGTTCCTGGACCAAACACAGATTCTCTCTCTTCCTTCCTCAGGGCCTTTGTCACTTTAGCAGCAGACATGGGTCTGTGGGTGATCCTGCGTCCTGGACCGTACATCTGTGCTGAATGGGAATTGGGTGGGTTGCCAAGGTAACACCAAACTGCACTGTGCTTTAAAAATACTGACCATGCATGTATTAGCAGTACACAACCTGAGATTTTTTTTTTCTTACAGCTGGTTGTTGCAAGATAAAGGAATGCAGCTGAGGACAACTTATCCTGGATTTGTAAATGCTGTCGGCCTTTACTTTGACAAGCTTGTATCAATTATCAAACCTCTGATGGTAAGTCAAACTGTTTATTTTGTCATGCATTTCATTTCAAGAACCTCCTGAAGGAAGGACTGGTGCTTTCAATGAGACACACTTTGCTGTTGTTCACTACAGTTTGAAGAGGGAGGCCCAGTTATTGCAGTTCAAGTTGAAAATGAGTATGGATCATATGCCAAAGATGACAAATACATGCCCTTTATAAAGAACGTAAGTGTGTAAATGTTTTGCATTGTTTTGTTGCATTGTAAAAGAATCCTCTATAATTGATTTGAATTTAGGATAGTAAGCATATTCTGCAAAAACAATTTTTTTCTGGTAGTGCCTCGAGTCCAGAGGTATTAAAGAGCTTCTGCTGACCTCAGATAACTGGGAGGGATTGAGATACGGAGGCATCGAGGGAGGTAATAAAGATATCTAACTCTTAGGGGGATGAAAACATTCTAAAACATGTTTTACTCATTTGTTTCATTTGTTTTCTCCATAAAGTGTCTTGTTTTTAAGGAACCTAATCCCAGCCTATCTCCTTTAATGGTTAATAATGTACTCTGACTTTGTCCTTGTCTTTGAATCTTGCACATTTGAGTTCTAAAAACGATAAACCTTCAGAGACTGTCATTCGGAGCCATCCACCACTTAGCTGAAATGCAGGTAGGTGAATAAGATAAGATAATCCTTTATTTATCCCACAATGGGCAAATTTACAGTGTTACAGCAGCAAAGAGCAAAGATTGCAAACAGAAAGTGAACACAGTACAATTTAAATAAAAATAAAAATTAAGAATGTACAAAAACAATAGATACTAAAAAATAGATTTACAAGGAATGTAATGGGGCTTTTGAACTCCTTACTGATTATTAAGGTCTCTATTGATTACTGATGTTGCCTATAGTTGTAATACAACTGGCTTAAAAAAAACAAGACAAAGTGAAAATGCCAGATATTCTTTCTCATAGAAGCCTTGCTATGACTCCTTTTTTTGACTCTTTTATTACAGTAGATAGTAAAATATGTGTTTAAGACCAGCTTGTGTTTTTGTGTAGCCCCAGAAACCCCTCATGGTGATGGAGTATTGGTCTGGTTGGTTTGATGTTTGGGGAGAGCATCACCACGTGTTCCATGCTGAAGGTTTTAAACTTTTTTTTTCACCATCATTTTCCCTTCAAATATTTCTGCTAAGCACATGCTCATTGTTGGTCCTCGGTTTAATTTTATCACTTTCATTAAATAACATTATAACAAGCTGATCAATGGCCAGTGTTAGTTGTGAAGTTGGATAGCTTGTTGAAGTCTGAACGTCATTTTTGAGTTGTTGGATTCAAGTATTGTTTGAGGACATCACTGCCTGACTTGTTGATTCTTTTGCAGCTTCTCTGTTGCTCACTTTGTGTATTATGTCAACATGTATTGAAATCTGGATTACAGACATGCTAGCTGTTGTGTCAGAGATCCTGGAGAGAGGAGTCTCCATTAATCTTTACATGTTCCATGGGGGAACCAGCTTTGGCTTCATGAATGGAGCGATGGACTTAGGTACCTACAAACCCCAAGTCACCAGTTATGGTTAGTATGGACAACCAGAGCTGACAAATAGGATTTCTCCTAAACAATAAATCACATTTTACTAATCCATGTAAATATATTCCTTGCAGATTACAATGCACCGCTATCTGAGGCTGGAGATTGCACCCCAAAATATCAGCTTTTGAGGAAGTTATTCAGCCAGTACCACCGTAAAGTCTTTCTCTATTAGATCACATTAAAATAATATGAAAAACTATAAACACATCTTATTATGACTTTTAAAATCATAGTAATTAAATCTATCATGATGAGCACTCATTAAATGTTTTGCCTACTTGTGATGCAGCTGAGCCCCTTCCTGAAGTGCCTTCTCCTCAGGAGAGAAGAGCCTACGACCCCGTCCTCATCCAGCAGCACCTGTCACTGTGGGACAGTCTGCACTTCACTGACAAGGTATGCTGCAGATGTAAGGCACTTCTCTGAATGACAGATGATTGCACACTGTGCAGAATCTATTCCGACTTGACCGTACTGTTGGATAAATACAAAGGTGCCCTGCTGGAATACTTAAATGTAATATGCTGTTTGCCTCAGACAGACAGAACATCTTATCAGTGTGTTTATCTGCTGCTCTGTCTCGGCTGTGTGAGCAACCTGCTGCTTATGCATTTAGACAGATGTCTCACACCTAGCAGCTGGCTTTACTCATACATCAAAGTGTCAAAACACCAGCTTTCTTTTGCAAGTATCTGCCATATGCTGTTTTATTCTAACTATTCAGCAGTGTAATGCATGTACATAGCTTCACCTAGAATGGAGCTTCTTAAATTCACTTGTAAATAAGTATTTTCCAGCCCTGATACAGATATCAATTGTCTTCAGAAGTCTGTTGAATGACTGTGTTCTGCCAGATTCAGGTTTATACGTTTTTCTTCCTCCTGCACCTTTTCAAACTTTGTAAAGGCAAAAACAATGAAGTATTTCTCTACATTATACGGCGTAAAAGGAATAAAATAAAACAAATTAATTTTGTTTTGAATATGTCAGCATGATTGACTTGTATCTAGCCATTCAGGTCAGACAGGCCGGTAAACATGGAGAATCTCCCTGTCAACAATAACAACGGTCAGTCATATGGTTACACGCTGTATGAAACCACCATCACCTGTGGAGAAACCCTCAACTCTGGGAACAATATCAGAGACAGAGCACTGGTGAGGATGAATGAAACACAGACATGTCTTACATGCAATTTACTGTGAAGTAGCAATGTTTTTGTTTTACTTAATCATTGTGTCTTTAAATGTTGTTTTTTTTAGGTTTTTGTGGACAGACGATACGTTGGGACTTTGGACTACAAGACTCAAGAGCTCATACTCCCCAAAGGACAGGTACTGACTGTTTCTTTGTGTCTGTTCTTACTCACACATAAAAAAAGTAAAAATCAGTAATTCAGTCCAGCATTGGCGGAAAATGTAAAATCTACTTTATGCACAGTGAGAATAAATCAAAGTTAAAGATCTTCTTAATGCAAAATAAAGGACCAGATTTTGTAATCATAGCGGTAAAAGTATTCTTAATCAATCAATCATCAAAATAAC